CGATCTTTGTTTCTTCGGTTTTGTCCATCTTAGTAGGGGAAGCCTCCTGCCAAAAAAAGTTGGTACAAGGGCACTACTGGGGGACCCAGCTATTTATCTTAGGTTGACGCCAAAGATTGAAACTACGGCTGTGGTGAATGATCTTTCTTTTGCCCTCCTAAGCAGACCACAAACAGGCCATGCAAATCTCAAGCAAACCCCATGAAAGCCGTTTGTAGTTGGTATGTATGGCTACCCCCTGTTTGGAAAATTGCAAAGTGGGCCCAGACGTACGGGCACATAGAACGGATCTCAAAATGACGCCTGGGCCCGACAAGGCGGACGCCTGCAAATCACGTTGGCCAATGGCTGGGCGGGGTAGTCTTGCACCCATTCCCAGTTCTCCTGGCGCACGTGGTTCGCTTCTTAAGCCGTCAGGCAACTCATCCCACCTCCGGTCTAAATCCATGAGCCTTATAGTACGTACAACCGGACTTCTCATTTATAGAGCGCCCCCCCTTCAAGAGGTAATATGTTTTGTGGCCTGAGCAAAACGTCAACGCATACAATTCAGCCTTCTTTTGTCAACCATGGCTCGAGGTAGGCACATTTGCTGGGTGCAAAGTAGTGAATCTAAACGTCTTAAAACATCTTAAAACTTGCGCCCTTTTGCTTCCTGGGCAAAAAAAACAACCCATGATATTTAGCACGCTGGCCTGTTCAAATCCGAATCGAACTGCGGTTGCTCCTTCTCTCGAGTTGACACCCCGCAAAAAGCGACCACTTGCTACTAGGTGAAAAGCGCATGCAGGAGCACCAAAGGGCAAACAGCTCTACCTAGAGTCTCCATGACCCCTAGAAAAAGGCCTTAAGTTTGGGCAATGACCCCATCTTTTGAGGGTCATGGAGAGTCTAGGTATAGGTGAGTCAAGTCTGGCAACAAACTTCAAAACCTGACATAAGAATTGCATCCAAGTAAGGTACCATGGTCATGGCTTCCGTCTGTTTTTTTTCGCCTGTTTCACCCCGAACAAATGGCCCTGATAGTTGATTGAACCACCTGGTAAACCAGGGCCCTCTACTTTTCAACCGAATCAACAAAAAAGGACACTTAGTTTGCAATGCTTTGTTGGCTGCTCTGTTTCGATCGAGTCCGGATTCTTTTGGGGAACTGCACCCTCAAATCCTAATCCATCGAGTTCTGCTTACCTCCAGGGAACACAGTGAGGAGTTGCCCCCTTCTGGTCCTCCCCCTTATTTTTGCTAAATGCGCCATGGTCAACCTCCTTCTGGTCATGGTCCTGGTTCTCTTAACAGGAATCCTGGTGGCTGCAAAACCACCACACTGAAGGGCATCCAGTATAAATTCTAAGGGTGCCAACTTTTTGCTGTAGTCTATTTTAGTAGGGAGTTTCCCCTCCCAACCAAAAAGGGGTGAGAGGGGGGGCACCGATCGCTCCGGGACCTAGTGGGGCTTTCGGGTCTTTCGTCTCCCAGTCCTGGTGGTGGCTTCCGTGGCCCAGGTAGCAGCGGCTGGAGGTGTTGAAGCTGGTGGGGCACTCGTGCACACAAATGGGGAACCGCTTATTCAGGCCTCGGAATTCGGAACTCGGCGCGTTTTTTTTTTTTTTGCGCTTGGATGATGCGAGATCCTTGGAGGGGGTTTGGGAATGAGCATTTTTTGGGGATCCCAAATTGCTGCCCTTAAAGGAATCTCGTCACTTGCTTCTTTTTTGTATCCCCCTTTGGTGGTTATAAACAGCACATGTTGGGCCAAGAGAAAAATGCTGGTTCTAAACAGGGAAGGGAATGACTCCGAACTGAATCCCTGGTGCTTCCGCAGGGGAAGCAAAGATTTATTCTCAAGACCTGTTGATTCCTTGCCGACAACTAGCAAATATTTGGAGTTGTTTTTTTCTTATCGAGCTGGTACCCTCGTTGGTGTGGTTTCAACGCGACAGCAAAGGTGAAGCCGCATTTTGCCCCAACAGCTGGAAGCTTTGGGGTCGCGCAGAATTTGTTGAAAGGCTATGGAGTGGTGTGTGCGCAGTTGGTACCCTGCTTGGGGTGGTTTTTCAAGAGCAACCAAAGGCAACAAAAAACAGATGCTGGGGTCCGCCTATGTTGACAAAATGCCCTTCCTCCTCCGAAAACAATATTTCGGGCACGGCCGCGCTCCAGCAACAAATCTTTGGAAACTCATCTGGTCTGTCGCCTCCTCATTCCCCAGTTCACGAGGGAGTGCACCCTTCCATGTGCGTTGTTTTCGTCCACTGGGAAAAAAAAACACAAGCATTTCCAGTGGTGATAGATTCCCTGTAAAGCCAACAAATGAAATTCAACACAAAATCTTAAGCAAATGGAAGCATCACAAGCCTTCGCCCAAACCAGTGGAAAGTAGACCACATGTTTTTGTTTGTGGGGGTCGACCATCTTTAGTTGAGGAACCCGACAAACAACCCGGGACTTTAAGGGTGCAACCTCCGAGAAGCCGAAGGTTGAACAAGCTGAGACTTGAACATCTGCATCGAACCCCCCTTGTTTTACCAAGGAAGTCCACAGTCCTTCTTTTTGTAGGTTCTCCAAGGAGCCCTACTGGTAGGGCTCCGGAGAAAATCCTTGCTCCGATGACCGAGGGGAAGACATGGGAAGACAATGGGCTGGGAGAACTCAAACAAAGATCAGCTTGGTCTGCCCAGAAAGTCGAAAGACCAGGAACTCAGCGGGATTCAGCCATAGGTGTCCTTTTTGGGAAAATAGATGGCCCTGGTAGTTGATTGAAGCACCAGGTAAACCAGGAATCGCCCTCTGTGTTTCAACCGAATCAGCCAAAAAGGACACCTATGGATTCAGCTTTTTGATTTCATGTGTTGGAGGGGCTCGGATCAATCAGCCCACTTCTTCGGGCCGCTAATGGAAAAACCTGGCGTGGAGGGGGTCCACACCCAACTTGGGAACACGACTCTCCTGGAACGGTGTCCCCTGGTCAGCCACCCCATCTTGAAGCCCGTGCTGAATCCGTGCCAAACAAAATGCATGGGTATGTGTCAACATAGTAGGGGGGCGCCAAACATGGTGTTCGGGGGATCTCTCTCCAAATTAATTTCAAACCTGGCGCCCTCTAAGAAACACGTCACACACCCCGTCTCCAAACATCTAACTTTAAAACATCACAAGGAACCAGGCTAGCTGGAAGCACACAGCCACAAGCGGCCCTGCAGACACCAGCTGAACACCTTCTTGCTCTGAGCGAGGGGCTCTTGTGCAACTCGTCATAGATGTGCTCGCTTTGCACCGCCATGCAAAAATACAGATAGGGCTTGTCCTGCGCACTTGCGCCCTGCCCTCTTTTCAAAGACGTGAAGGGATTTCGCTTACGCAAGAAAGCAAACACCATCAGCAAAACGCGAGGGCAGGATGTTTGTCAGACGGACCCCTTTTGAACCTTGAACTAGGGCGCATCACCTAGCCCCCCTATTGTGGAAGATCAACAAGACACTAGGTCCTCCAGTGGAGAGCTTAGAATAAGGGTACCAACATTTTGCTGTAGTCTCTTTAGGGGAAGCCTCCCAACCCAAAAAGTTGGTCAAAGGGCACCTTGGAAAACCTAGACGGTCAAAGTGTGACCCCACTGCACTGCATGCGCCATGTCCCGAACCGCAGATCGATGGGCAAAACACGCTGGATGCCTCGACCGAACTTTCACGTGACTCCACGGGGTAGCTTCCATTTCCATTCTGAACCCAGGGATCCTTCTTTCTGGAAAACCACCAAAAACCCCGGGGAAACAGCTGGTTTTTGAGAAGAACAATGGTTTAAAAGAATGGGGACTCAACCCCTAGAATGACTGTGAAGTTTTCAGGGGAATGAAAAGTCGTAAACTCCATGCAGCATGGATTCTCGACATGCAAATCAACCCGCCGAGCTCCGCATATTGGGGCGGGAGTTGCTACCCGGTTGCCCCTCGGGTGGAAACCCTCACTTTGAGACATACGCTGGCATACGCTTGCTTCCCTCAAGGTTGCCACAACCAACGGACACGTGCGGCTTTCTTCTGATATTCCCCTGGCAAGCTTAAGGGAAGCAACCGGGGAAAAAGTGGTCTTCTACAAGTGCTCCTGTCTACCCTAAAACATCGAAACAGTTTTAGAGGAGACCCCCGATATATGATGCCCACCAACAGGCCCTACCGATTAATTACAAAACATACCCAAAAGAGCTAGGTCAACGTACGCAGCTATCGTAGAAGGTGCGGGAGATTGGTTGTCTGTCCCCTGGCTTTGGCTGATATTTAGACGTCCCAAATCATACAAATGCTTACCGAACCTTGACACCTCGGTCCCCAGTCAAAAACATACCTGATTCCCTAAACATTGCAACTAGGAAACAATGAACATCATTAAATATGTTACACTTTAGATGATTTCTTGTAACCATTATTTGGTAAGTCATTGCGTCTGAGAATTTGCAGGAAACCTGAAAATGGCGAACCTCAAACACAGAAGCGCACCCACTTGGGAGCCAACCGTAGCGCCAACTTCACATTTAAACGAGGAAAACACACTGAGGAATCCCCCCTTATGCGGATGAATCTCCCCCATCAACGGCAACTCAGGATTATGTGATAACTTCTGGTTTGTGAACCTTGTTTATGCGGCCTTCTTCACTTATGAGGACACACACCCCTATTAATCCAGGCTTAGTAGTCTGGGCTCAGAATTGGAGTGGGCTTGTCAATCTCAGATACATGTTCACGGACTCATCACTCTTGCATCTTGATTCAAAAGAGGGTGGCCCCCCAAAACTTGCTGGCGCCATAGGCAGGGAATGAAAAATGGAATGACCCCTAGAAATTATCCCTTGTGGTTTCCTTTCAGGGAATCCTTGGGCTCCTTCCAATTCTCATTCCCTACTTATCGCACCAGCAAGAAAATTGATCCGCATCCCCCTCTAACCTAAAAACATCTCAACATCACCCTTAAAATAATAACTTTTCGCTGGTCCAGAGGTTTCTCTGTATCTTGGGTGCTGTAGATCCCCCAGCAAAAAGTTTAAGCTCTTTCTGGTTAACAGGAAATATGAGGGGAATCCAAAAAGTTAAAGTTTAAAGATCCAACCCAAGGCAGTAGAGGTATTTCCGATTCGTGCCGGGCCCACGAGTTGAACCCGACGCGCCTGGCGGAGCGTTCCTCCGCAGTACCTGCCCGTAAAGTCCGGGAGGTGGAAGAGCATGCCGGGCCGGCCCACCTCTGCAACCCGACGACACACGGGCTTGGGGCTTGACTGAACCTAGGCGCTTGGCCCTCGCGATGGGTGAGTGAAGCGGAGTGGGGCGACCGGTGAGCCCTGAACGGGCGAACCGATTCACGGGAGCTCAACATAGGCCAAAAACCGGTAACATGTGTGGATTTCCTTTGAGTCCCTTTAACATGATTCCAAAAAGGCTACCCTCAAAAAGACACAAGCCACCAAACGAACGGAATGAGAGCGTCTCAACCTATCCAGATTTCATGTATGGATGAAAGGAGGCCAAACATGTTTTTTCAAGGGTGAATACGTTGGACAAAGGAAATCCGTCGCCAACCGCACAGAACAGGAATTCAGCACAGCCACACCACCACCCCAAACGTGCAGACAGGGATGCCAAGGGCAAAGGGACACATGGCCAAAGGGTCATCCCGATTCCACAATTGCGGGCATGAATTTGTGTGCCAGGGTGCACCCGCCCGGCCACGCTCCAGCCTCTTCCTTTTGGTTGCTCTTGAAGCCATCCAAAAGGGGGATCCCTAGTTGAACAGGGATCCTTACATTATGCACCTGAACATTGCCTTGTAAATGGTGGTTTCCCTTTGGTTTGGTGTTGAAAAAGCAACATGTTTCAAATGGTGGCGAAATGCATCTTTTAAGGAGCCCTGTTGAATAATACAGTTGAAAAGCCAACGCAGAAGACTGGTAACAACCCCTCCGCCGGGCCCCGGCCACAAATCACTCCCGCGGAGGCCTCGGTGGAGCGGTGGGTGATCCACGCGGAAGCCGCCATCACCGCCAGAAAGGGGAGCAGCCAGACCTGAAGCGCGTCGATGTTGATCCCTTCCGAATTTGGGTGTGACTTTTCATTGGGGACCCTCAGGTGGACCTCATTTAGGTGGGGGTTTGCGCCCACCAACCATTTTGGAGGGGTGTTCCTACTTGTTTGACCCCATATTCATCAACCCCAGTTTACAAATAGGGAGTTGGTTTTGGCCCCCCCTAAACCCAGGTTGACACCTTTTATTCATAAACTGGGGGGGGAGTGATTAATATGGGGTCTACATCGTCAAGTTTCACTCTTCAGGCGAACTGATAACTGGGCTGTCCGTTTTCTGATCCCCTGCTAACAGATTGACTTTTAACCCAAAAGAGCTAAAAAGTGAAGGGGATGGCTGGGAGCCACCAAGCTAAGAGCCTCTTTCTTTTCTGGCTCTCACTTGCTTGGGTGAAAAATCAAGGAACTGTTCGGGTATCTATGTACCTAGCCTCTTGTGAAAGGCTCTCAGTTTCCTTGGTATGGTAAGGCTCTTAAAGGCTCAATTATAGAGTGAAGAGCAGTGTGCGTCAGGCAAGTGGTTAGTAACCGCGGCTCGAATCCACCAAAAGCCATCACCGTTACCCACTACTACTCCAGTAGAGAGGTTAGAATAAGGGCACCCGATTTTTTTGGTTTTGTCTATTTTAAGGGAATCAAATCTCCCAACCAAAACAGGGGTGAGAAGGGCACCTAGATGGGGACCTAGCACTACGTACCAAGTCGGACCTTCAATGGTTCACCGCTCGGAGCGGTGAGCTCGCGCTTCGACGCTCGGCCCTTGAGGGCCCTGCGCAGTCGGTACAGCGCCGCGGCACGTCCAGCGGGGTGAAGCCCTTGTCCTTGCGAGACTCAGTCAGCCTCCCTCTTGGGTTGGTTTGGTAGGGATGGTTGCCCATCTACCCACAGGGAGGGATGGTTTACCCACAAATCAAAAAGCAAACCACCAATCCAAAGCACCAAGGGTTATCTGACTTCAGAATCGCAACTGGAACCCAAACGATTCCAGGGATTCCTTGCGGGTTCTCTTTCAAAGAGAACCAAACAAACATTGCCCATCGCCATTCGGCTTCCTTTGGCACAAGATGCACAACTTGAGGGGGACCACTCCAAAGGGGGGTGGGGGTCCATCTGTACTGCTACTTTGTCACGAAGGGGGATTCCCTTGGCATCACAGAAAATGCCCGCAGGATTCTAGATTGTCAAGCCACGCGGATTCACGGACAGTCCCCGCTCAAAGGGAACGTAGTCTATCATTGATGAACCAGGGCGTTCTAAATGCGAGGATGCAATTACGTGAGGCAATGCCAAAGTTCTCTGCCCAAGTAGTTTATCCCCAGGCATTTTGGTGGATCTGGAGTTGGGCTTCGAACCGTATCTTTTTGTTGGCTCTAGTATGCCTTAGTTTTGCAAGAAGGGATCGAAGACACCCAGAGACCAAAACCACATACTGCCGACAGCAATGTGATCTTCATGGCTTTCCGGGTGCGAAGCACGCTAAAAGGAACCTCATGGTAGATGGCTCCCGCTGTGGTACGGTGAATTTTCATGTTTGAACATAGAAACAGAACAAGGACAACTATCTTATTTGCCACGGCCATGTGTTTGGCTAAATTGAAGACCCGCTTCTTTGCAAAGATCCACGGTGTTGCGTTGCAGCTGCACCGGCCTTTTTGCTGACGCGGGCAAAAAAATCCAGGCACAGTAGGGCCACCCCCGACCATTTGTTCAAGGAAAAGGAAGCCAACAGGAAAACCAGTTGGTTCAAAAAATGTTCCTGTTGGTTTTCCTGTTGCTTCTTTGTTTTTTTGGTTCACGGAAAACCCACCGGCAGCCCCGTGCATTTTTAGGACCCTCTCCAACCACACGCAGAAGCCGCAGCGGAGAGCGAGGCTCCTCCGGGTCAAGGGGATTGGGCCCCACTTTGGGGGCCAGCAACTCCTGAGTCGAGTCGAAAAGCGCCGGACAAAGGTCTGCCTGGGTCACGGCTGGAGCGATCCAATTGCTGATCTGTTGTTTTCCCAGGTTTGAGGGTGAAGGGAGCCGGAAAAGAGAAACCACAACTTGGATATGCAGGCAGTCTGGTTGAAATAGCCTACTTCTCTTGCTGGTTCTCAGGAATTGTTTGAGGCGTTTCGGCAATGAGTCGTTCTGGGATTCCCAAGGAAGCAGGAAGCTGCCAGCGTGGTTCACTTCGGCCTCATTCCTCCCAACTCGTTCCCCAGCAAATTCGGCTTCGCCAAGCCGAACGTGTCAAGTCCCTACCACGGGACGTCAGGGATGATCAGATTGGCCAACCCAGCCAACCCTGTTGGATCATCCACAAAAGATGTGCTCTGCCTCAATGTGTGTGTGTGTGTCTTTGAGGGTACCCTTTTTTGGGACGATGTCAAAAAAGACTCTCAGGGAAACCCACCATTTTGGGGAGGTTCGCCAAGTTAACACACACTCGAATTGGGTTGCACGAAATCGTTGCCACTTTATCGGCTTTGTCGCTTTGTCTGTCTGTGTGGTGTTTTATGTTTATAACGATGCGCTTTCTCTGTCTTGTCTTCTTGGCCAGGGATCTCCGGAAAATTCCTCTCCCAAACTTTGTTGGGAGGGTATTTGCTTCCGGGGTAAGACACATCATGATTGGGGGCCCAGAATGAGATGATTCAAAGAGGGATTGTCTCATCAAAAAGTGTTCCCCAAGAAAGCAACTGCTTCCCTGTGATTTCGCATGTGCCCAACAAATACTCCTCAATGCTGGCTTTCTACTCACTTTGGGGTACCCTCCCGACAAACATTGGAACAAGGTTCCCATATTTGCCCACACAACATCACCCCTACCAAGGGGAACCGACCTCAAATGGGCAAAACAGGTGATGCTTAAAATTACCAAAAGGAAATTCAAAGCATAGAGACCCGCTCTGAATGGTCTCCCAGCCGCCCTCATAGTCATGGAGGAAACCCACTTCGCGCCAATTGATAGGGGGGTTGTCCCCAATACTCATAGGGTTCATCAAGGGTTTCACAAATCTACAGTAGAAGAACCGATGCTAAATCGGACCCTAGAAGGGTCCATGAACGTCCACAAACAAATGGTGGGTGGGATTTAGTGCATTCTTTGTTAGGGCACCTTCTCCACCAAACGGATCGTTGATTCGGGGTCCCTCCGAATTTGACTCAAGCACACAATCCAAGCATTTTTTTCAGGTTATCCACTTGCTGTTTAAGGCTTTTGCCCAACCTGGCGATCCAGGTGGGTATAAATCCGCAAACACCTCTACCAGTGCTTAGTTGGGAATCAGGGTTCTTTACCGCCAGGGGCATGGCACTGGGTCTGGCTGAGTCTCCTCCTCCTTGTCATCGTGTTCCTCAACGTCGCCTTCGCCTAAGTCAATCCGCAGGTGTTCGTCCGAAATTGGACTCAAGGGGTTCGCAGCTTTGGTAGCCAAAAGGAGGTTGTTAAACACTAGTGGTTTAAACATGCAACAGTGATAGGCTGTAACCCTGCTTGAAAGGCAATCCGATGCAATCCGTTTCGAACCACATTTGTGCGGTCACCTCTATTGGCCAGAAAGAGTGCAAACTTATGTTTGCCACTCACCAAAAAGCTCTTCACTTCCTGACAGAATTAAAGCCAACAGAGCCAAAACTGCATTTGATTTTTAACCCCAAAATTATCCGAACCCAAACCGCTCAACGCCCCAGGAACTCAGCAGATCTCATGGAGCCTGGGCAGAGACCCAGAAGCCTGGCTTCGGGAAAACCCGAAGCCAGGCCTCGAACTTGGGCCCAGCTTCTAATGGAACTCATCTCCGTTCAGTGACCCTGCGACAAGGGAACCCTTTTTGGGGCTTGGACCAAATTTTGAGTGGGGCCACCAAATTGCTGCATTTTTTGGGTAGGGCCACCAAATTGTTGGTCAAGAAGCAATGGTGATCAATTTTTTAGTGGGGCCACCAAAAAAAAGGAAAAAGAACAAGGGTGTCACTGAACAACTGAGACATGTCTCACCGGTGATTGGCGGTTGTGCAACCAACTTTGTCCATTGCCCCTCCTTGGCCCAACCGTTTCTAGAAATTGGCTTGGATGCGACAAATCTGTGGATCCACCACTGTAGGATATTCAAAGAGATTGCTAAAACAGGAGCAAGAGGGAGAAGAACTGGTGAAATCCATAACAAACGCATCCAACCCGTTTTCTAGACAACCCGCGCCCCAGCATCAAAAAACATATGAAGTTGAATTGGGATCCCCGTCCCAAATGGTTAATGGACATGAATCCCCACCGCAATGACGTCCACAGGGTTCCTAATTCAATTGCCCATATGTCCGGACTCTACTTTATATATTTCTACCGCACACATGTAGTCAGCCTTGAATTATGAACACACGATTCGGAGGAGACCCCTTCACGGAAACGTAAGACATGGCACTGGAGGGTCCATACCACCCAAAGAACATCTAGGGGCCCAGCTAAACCACCACCTCCTGGTCTCATCTACAAACCACAAAACCAACTAAAAAAGGGGAGAAACTAAGGAACCGGATGCCTGGGAACTAAGAAGAGTGGTCCTTTTCCACGAGCCATCACGAGCCCATCTCAAATCCAGGGCACTGTCAGCCTCATCCGGCTCCATGCGGCATTACGCTGGATGCTCTGGCGGTCTGGTCGTTCGAAAGTTGGTTCTGCCGAACTTTTTGGAAGAAATGCGTCTTCTGCTGTTGGCTTCGTAGTGCTTCCCACTACTATGTGGGGTCTGCCGGAAGAAGTAGAAATACACCCATCTCGGTTCGAAGGCACTTGTCTGGGGTTGAATGTGGAGCAACACATGTCAGGTGTGATGTGTGTGTGTGTGTGCGTGTGCTAAAATAGGGGGCCGGGTGGTTGTAGCCCAAGCATGGGGTACCCTCCAGAAAGCTCCCAAACTTATATCCCAACCTCGTGGAAAAGCGGCCACTCCCTGGACTATGAGTGGCCAGGAATATGAGATCCAAGAAACATATGCGTCCGAGATCCACCCAAGCATTGAACCATTTAACATCGATTTTACGGAGAAAGTATAACCAGTAATGACCCGTGCTCGGGAACATCAAATCCCTTTCAGTGGATGCAGGCAGTCTTTGAAAAAAGATCTCTTGGATGACTCATGAATCCCTCGAAGGCTTGAGGTGACGCGCGGCGGCGCGCGAAAAGTCACGAAGAACGGATTCATTGCTTTCCAGTACAATGTGCTTCTTATCAGGATCGCCCTCAAGGGGGACACCCTCAAACTCTCCATGCCCACAATCTTTTTCCGGAGTTGCCACTAATTGCAGTCAAGGCCTACAGAACTGGAATGGAATTGGGGGGCTTTGATGATTACAGTAATTCTGTAGCCCCTTATATTACATGTCCTTTTTTTTCTCGGACTAACAAATGGCCCGCCAAAGTCGAGAAGACAACTCCACTTGTTTAACCCAAAGGAGAGACAGCCATGTTCTTAAAGGGTCAACAGGGTCGTTTGGTCGAATCAAAGAGCGAGCTATGCGAACTCTACAGATCAGCAAAGAACCCCAAAAATCCGACATTAGACACACCGTTGCCCCTTGGGCACCCAGTGGTTGGGGCCATGACTAAAGATGGTTGCCAAAGCGGGAACACCAAAAAGGTGAGCTCAGCTCAATTCTCTTTGGCCGGCAAAAGAGATTGTCTCACCCGAATCAAAGTCACTCGTCAAGTGGTTGGTCAAGGTAAACAACCCGATTTCCTGACTTTGATACCCTCGGAAACAGGGTTCCACTTTTTGGCTACAAGATAGACTTAAACCCAGGGGAAGTCAAAAAGTGGAACCCTGCTCGGAAATAGTCAACCAGAATGACCCCAGTTATATATAAATTTGCTGAGCGGCCTCCACCGTAGCCTCCATGTTGATCAGTGGAGCAATTGCCCTTGCTCAAAACCTGCGCCTGATGAAAAACATCTTTGAAAGGTTGGTGCAGACTCATGCATGTACGTATGCATGTTACATACAAGGATAATTGTCAGTGTCCTACAACTGTGAAGCGCCTCATTCTTACTTTGTGGTGCATTTCCTCTTAGGGGGGTGTTGAAAACCGTGCAATTTGTGCTATTTGAATTCTCAGGTAACAAGGTCACTTCCGCCGAGGATAGGCCCTTTGTCTCTGCTCCAGAGTCTCTGGTTTGGGGCTGATTCCACTGGAAGCCCAGGATCAACTGCTTGACGACATGCTCCGGCGGGAGTCACACCCGTGTCTGTTGGGGACTCACAGAATGGATGGTTGTCCTTTTGGTTTCCCTTTCAAACCAACCCAAAAAGGGTACCAACTTCCAAACAAGACGATGGCCCCCGGTGGCTTCTATGGGCCGGGAACCGAACCAAAAGAACGAATACCCAACATCCAGGCTCCGCGCTGGCGTGTCCGCGCGCAAACGGAAGGAGGCGAGATTCTGGCACTGCTGGGCCGGGTTGAAGCCTCAACTGCAAAAAAAGTAAAGGCCACAAAAAGGGCCCCTGAAAAAAGAGGTTCCTCCACACTTCCCACCACCTCTGGGATCTGGAAGATCAACTTCCTTTTGAAGGGACCATTTCCTTTTTTCCTAGGTGCCGTGGCAACGTGGGAGGTTCAAATCACTTCGTCCATGAAAGTGACATCCTCAAACTGACGCTAGATGGCGATTGAAAGGAAAAACCATGCTCAAATCTAAAAAGTTTGCTTCGGATGACGGTTTTGGGATCCTTCTGCGAAGTACACATCCCCCTAAAAGGAACTCTAGAAAACGGCTTGGATGCGCTGTTTGTGGATTTTCACCTGTTCTTCCCCCTGTAGGTCCTTTTTTGTACTCTCTTAGTACTCTTTTAGTATCCTACTGGGGTGGATCCACACAAACCGCATCCAGACTGTTTCCTAGAGTCGACTATCCATATCAATCTGCAGTAAGCAGGTAACTTGAGACAATGCCACGCACGAGTGTTTCAAAGAAATGGGACCCCAGCTGGTTGGCATGTCCGTTGCTTTCCCGTTTCGAAGAACGGGACATCCAATAGTTGCCATAAGACTGAAAGCCAGTGTTCAGTCCACTAAAGAATCCGATTCTAAGGATTTCGCTCTGCAAAATGTCCCACACATCAGTGAACTGAAAGACTCCCCCAAAAAGCTGAGTGAACGTGGGGTCAGGCAGGAATACGATAGCAAGAGACCCTCAGCGATGGAGTTCGTGTGATCCCGATCTTTGCAGGGAGGCTGTAGTGGCGGTTGTTTTGCAAAGCATGTTTGGGACCGGGTTGGTTGCCAAAGGGGCCCAGCCATGTTTGAGGACGAGTTTGGGACAACATGTCAATTCTGTTGCCAGCAGGCTTTCGCGTTTAACTCTAGGAGCAACCTCCTCATGATCAGCCACCCGCAGGAGATGGCTGTTGCAGAGAACTACTTGCAGAATGGGGCATCAGCCTGCAGACGCAGCTTTTGCCCCGCAGCCGAGGCAAAAGCCAAAACTTTAGTAAATCTCAAAGTGCTGCACCAATGGAATTTGGCCACTCCTGCCAACTCAAAGGTTGCCTGGTGCAGAAGTCCAGACCCCCAGTGGCCGGTAACAAAGCATTAGAATCAAACTTTTGTTTGGGAAGTTGGTTCTAAGAAGGCTTACGCCTCCCAACAAAAGGACAAACGGATTCAACACCCGGAGGTCTGAAAAGATGTCTTCGGCTTCCGGCGGCAGGGCTTTGTGCTCGACAGGGGCTCCAGTAGACGCAGGGCATACCTCGGAGAGTTTGGTTTTCGGTTGGGACCAGCGGTTGGCGGCCGATTCTTGGGTGTCTGTTTTGAGGGTACCCGTCTTGGCACGGTTTTATCAAGGGGAAGCAAAAGGACAACCACCACAATTTTATTTTTCGGGTGCCTGATTTGTGGGGTTGGTTTAAAGGGCAACCAAAAGGACACCAATCATATTGCTGCTCCGGTGTCAGAACCCATTTGTTTAAAACCAACTGGTCCCCTTCTCAACCCCAAGAACGTCTCAACCGGTTTGCCACCAAAGTGGTCTTGCCAGAAGGTTAGCTCAAAAGGTTGGAGGAAACCAACAGGTCGTTCAAACAAAAGGCTTGGAACACACACACACACACACAACAGCCCCCTGTAGAAAGTACTTTCATGGAAAGCCGGGTAGTACAATCCTTGGCCCACATCTGGCGTACACATAGAAAAGGATGCTCAGACTCTGTTTCATAGGTTGTCAAATAGTTTGTGAACCCCCCCCCAAAAAAAAAACACAAAATCCCAGCGGTTTGGGAGGTAGCGGACAATCATCCAACTCGGGTCTATGAGAAGCTCCTAGGCTCCTTTTTGGGATGGCCATAATGTGTCAAAACCTCCTGCGGGGCGGCCGTTACCACGTCTTGTGCTTTTGGAGGCATCTGCTTTGGTGGGTTTTAATAAACGCCTGAGTTGCACTCGCCCTTGCCTCACTTTCTGAGTGGACTGGCCAAACAAAGTTTAAACTTGTTCTTGAACACTAAAATGGAACCCTCCCAAGCATATCGAGTTCACCTCAGGGAGTGAGCAGTTGAAATTGACCTTGCGATTCTCGGGCGCCCAGCTATCTTAGAACCCAAACGATTTGAATCTCCCCGCGGTCGCACACTAAAACTGGCCCTGGGTAGACAATGTAAAGCCCGAATTCGAGTGGGGTTGGGTTTTGCATTGGTCATGATGGGAGTACACCAGAAAATTTGGCTGTGGCTGCAACTGCTGGGGTGGCTCATTTGTTGTCATGTTGCTGAAACCCATTTGGGCCCTGTAGGCAAATGATCGGGACACCTTTTTTTCGTGGCGCCGTCTTCCCTCCGAGCGACAAGTCCACCTCTTGGAAGGGCCGGCCAGCTGAAGGCTGGCGCTGGAGGCATCGGAAGAGCCCCAGCTCCTGCGGCTTTCGGCGACGGACAACGCGGCAACGTGCGTCCAGCCCAAGGTCCGAGCGGGGCTTGGGATGCACCCGGTAAATCCCCATACCACACGCCGCCCAGTTGCTCTAGGGGGGAAAAAATGAGGCCCCCAAATTGGGTGTAAATATATATATATATATGGAGGCCCCCAAATTTCATCCAGATCCTTAAAGTTGGCAGCTCTAGCTTGGGGCAAAGGGTTCCAGCAGTGTAGGGCTATCAAACGCTACCCTAGTCCCTACCTTGGGGGGTGGCAAAAATCGGCAACTCTTGGAAGGTGCTAATTTGTTGAAACGGTTTCAATAGGCTTCAGAACAGCCCACCTTTTCTAAACCACCATGTTGGTAGCCCATGGGTCACCTGTACAGGCGATTGTCATCTGCATATCCCCATTTTGCAGCCAACTCTCTGCTTTCATTGGTGCCTTGCGCCCAACATAATTTCCTTTGGGTGTCCCTTTCAGCCAACCCAAAAAGGGTACCCTCAAAAAAGACACAGCCCATTCGACTGAATCGATCCGCGCAAGAAAATTGGATCCCTGGTGCACGGAAACAAAGAAACAAAGGACTTCGTTGACTGATTGCTCACCCTTTGGGAACCAATCATCTTGGTTCAGGGCTCACTATTTATAAACCGGACCTCTAGTTGCCACGGGAAACAAGGGCACTCCTTTTTTCCTGTAGCTGATGTAAAACAGCACCCTCCATGAAAAAAAGGGAAAAGGGGCACCGCTGGAGGTCTGGGCAAAAATAAAAATAACGCACCCATTATTCCTTGTTCGTAGCCAAGCACTCGCGGAGGCGAGAAGAGCAGCCTCAATTTGTTGAAGTCCCCAAAACGAAAAGATACGACGAATATGTCCCTAGTCATGGATTCCATTTAAAACCAACAGAGGAAATTTAAACCAAAAACATATATATATATATATATATATATATATATTCCTTTCAGCAAATGGAAGTCTTTGCTCTTTGGGTTGGGTGTTTCTCAAAGTAGACGGACGGTAGGTTTGAGTGGATTTAGGCTGGGTTTTGGTTAACAAAATAATATTCTGGAAGGCAAATGCAGTGGTTTGGGCAGACCACATGGGGGTTGATCAAAAGGTCCTTTACATGGGATAACCATTGAATGGAAAACCTCCAAACACAATTTGAGATTTCAGCCACCAAATTGGACAAGTGCCCCTTGGTCATTTGGGAACCCCAAAAAATAGGCACCCAGCTACCCCAAGCTTCCATTTTCTGGCTCATGTTGACCAAAAAACCGCCGCAGAACGGGCGGTTGCAGGAGAGATCGCTCCTCCACCGCCGGGAACTCGAGGCCCTGGAAGCTGCCTGCCAGCAGCGCCCAACTTCTGGGCCTCGATGCGCGCGGCGGCGCGCGCGGAGGCTCGGAGCTCCGAACCCAAAGGAGGCGAAGTTGTCCGGGGCTCAAAGAAGTCACCGGTGGGACTAGGAAGATCGATCCTCCTTTTGTAGGAAAAAAAAGAAGCTAAGTTGCTGTTCTTTCTTTTTGCTTCAGATGTTTCTTGGTCAATTTGTCTTAGACCGTAGGTTCTTCTCTTTGGTTGTGGAGCTTTGTTCGGTTTACCTTCGGCTTGCCGTGGCTTCGGCCGATCGACTTCAGGCGCTCTGGGGGTCGATGGGCAACCAGACATCGGCGATCGAGAAGATGGGTGGTTCGTTCGGAGCAGCTTTTAGGGAGGGCTCCGGATTCCAAGAATTTCCGGGGGCTGTTGACAGTACCGCCTGATTTTATCTGGAGGCACCCAAAGGCCATTGGAGTGCCAATTGCGGAAGGCCCCGCTTTTGTCCATATGAAACGGGCTCTAGGGTCCATTGACAACAACTGTCTAAAGGTGACAACTCAACGTTCAAGTTGCGGAATTGAAACATTTTGAGCCCCCCCCCCCCCCCCCCCCGGTTTTTGCGGGACCACTCGGCTGCGACTTCGGGCCCGTCTGTCGCACAAGGCCGACCCTTTTCTCGCGGAGCGGCCCCAATTTTCAACATCCCCTTGCATTTAGTTGAACATCATCTGGGAGTGGTGAGTCCATCGCAAACTGACTTAGACCAATCAGGAATTTTCGACCGAACCACCGAACATGCTCGAGAATGCGGACTCCACCTTAGAGCGTGTCATACTAAAAAACACGGCGTCAATTGCCCCTGATCCTGTGCGCTGCAGCGATGATAATACTTTGCTGAAATGGGGTGGGGGGTGGGGTAGTCAAATGGTCATTTGTTTATGCCGTGCCCATACCTTGCAGCATATTCACTGCATCATGCTGGTTTTCAGTCAAGAGCGACATGTAACAATAGGTCGGGTGGATGCAACTTGACACAAGTTGAAGTATCGGGCCAAGAACCACAGCGATGCTAAGCATACTCCAGCTCTAAGAACACGACTGGGAGCAGTTAAGCTACTTAGGGTGGCCAACCTCCTTCTGTGGCTGCTGGCGGTGTTCTACCCTCATTGTGTTTCTATGGTTCAGGTTCGAAGACCAGTCGTCTTTTGAAACACACACATTGCCCTCTCCTACGAATTGTGTTTTCCTAATTAAAACCACTGGACGAAACATCGAGACTTGCTCTCTGGCCACAGACAACTCTGAATGAAACTAGCAACAGCCCCCCTAAGGGTCCTAACCGCTATCAGGACCGTTAGGGTCGTCTCTTTTCGTTTCATGCAGATCCTGAAGTGCTTTTAACCACCCATTGTAGTGCCTCTGCTTCACTGAATCGCACAAAGCCATGCTTAGAAGGATCCCCAAAATGGAGATGCCTGGACCCCCTGCAACAAGTTAACTTTTCTGATTGACAAGGAGAACAAGGGGAACCATCAAAAAGCAACAAGTTCAGGCGGTAAGCTCACTCCGAAAAAGCTAAATAGGTTCTAATATGGGTTCTATGCCATTAACATGGGTTCTAAGATGAGCTACGTATCTGCAAATTCAAGAAGAGATTTCCAGGACCTTCATTCATTGGGCGGGGGGCTTAATAAGGGCTTATTCAGGGTTTATTTGGGCTCCCCCGCTCTCCCTCCCCCTCAGCCCCCCATAGTCCATCGGTTGCCCCCCCAATCGAGCTCGCCATATCAAAGGCCTAACAGCGCTCATGTCGCGCTCTTTGTTAGAACGCGCGATGGGGGCGAGTCAGAGAAGCGTCCACTCCTGCCGCTGCCGCCAAGAGCTGTCTTGGGTCAGGTTGCTTTGAAAGGAAACCAAAAGGAGTACCAGGAGAACCAGACTTTGGGGGTCCAAGTGGCCTTCTCCTGCCCTTTTCAAGACGGATTTGGACGTTCAGATTCTGGCCCAGAATTTTTGTCTTCGACTCGTTTTGAAGGAGACGGAACCAAAGTGAACGGGGTATCAACTCCAAAACATCCACGCCCCTTCAAGATGGGTAGTCCTTTTGGCTTCCCTTTCCAAGTACCTGAAAACGCTGGGAAACTCCCGTTCTCCTTTTTGGGGGAAAGGGAAACCAAAAGGACACCCTCCAATTTGGAGTTCCCCTATTGGACGTGTCATATGTTTTTAGGGGACCCCCACAAATTGGTGGCTTTCCTTTTGGCTTTCCTCAAAAAACACACACCCATTTCCTCACTTCCTGAGTGGATGCGCCAGACAAACTAATCAAACTGTTCATTCACCACCAAAATGGTCCAGAACCCAAGAAACGCTTCAAGTTCAGGAACTCAAACAATCCCCCTATTTGGTTCTTGTATGTTTGTGTTAGACCCCCGAGAAAAGAAAGAAAGAAAGAACGAAAGAAAGACAGAAACAAAAACGATCCCGCTATGTGGGTCTTTTGTTTTTGTGTTAGACTCCCGCAAAAAAAGAGAGGAGAAAACATGCGGCTTTCCTCCAGACCCCCGCACAAAGAGAGCCGCGGCTTCCTCCAACAACAACCCCCCCGAACCAAACCTTCGGTCCGGGTTTCTCCTTGAGCTTCCGCTGCTTCGCCTTGGCCGCCAGCAGCGGCCTTCGCATCTCCGGACGGACCTGGGGATGCCAAAAGCGCAGCAGCAGCACCTCCGCCGCGAGGAAAGCGCTTCGCGCCGGGGGGGGGGGGCAGGCTGGGGGAAACGCGGGGGGGAAGCGAAGGAGTGGGAAGCGGGGGAAGCGAGGCCGGGGGCGTTTCGCTGGAGGAAGCCCTTGGTTCACGTTGGAAGATTTGCGGTTGAGTGGTTGGATTTCAACCACTCAATCACAATAATCAAGCAAAAAGGCAAAATGTTTCCCAACAACAAGCATGAGCCGGGGGGGGAACACCCGAAAAAGGTGAAGTCTCAGCCTTTCAAACCGTCACCGGAGTTGGGCTGACTCAAAGTTGGGCCAAAGCCTGAAGGTGACGCTAAAAAGGTCGCCGGATTTAATCTAAAGCCGGAAAGTGACCAAAGTCCGAAACGGAACTCAGGGAGTGAGGCAATGGCCCATGGCAGTGTTTCACTGCGCGTGATCCTTCTGGACCTCCAACCCCAGAAGCTTACAAACGTGGACACAAAAGAAGTCTGTAACATGGGATTCCCATTCCCACTTCACCGGGCTGTCCTCAGATCCCCCACTAAAAGTGGCTAACGTGTAGTGGGAAAAATGGAAAGCCAACCACTAAAATGCTAAGAAGCTAAAAGGCTAAGGAACCGGATGGGATCCACCAAGTTCATCATGAGATCATTTTCCAGGGGGTTCAAGGATTGGTATCACCCAAACTGGGCGAAACCCAGTTTCCATTTTCCACACGCGCCGAACCGGGTGTTGGGCCGATGGGCTGAAAATGAGGAAAGCACGGCTGGGAATATCTTTTTTGCAGGATTTTTCGGAGGGGCAATTGAGGGAAATCCTTCACGCCAGGAGAAATGACTGACCCCACACGCATACTCCTGCTCAGGTGGTTTGGTAAGCAGCGACTCTCTTGGAGCTGAAGGAATGTACATCGTTGATCACTTAATTTGGCTTCAAAGTATGCCCCGCCCTCAATTTGGCGTTTATAGCAGTTCAACTCATAGTTCCAGGAACCTCCTTCGTGAGGAATACCTTCAACGCCGAGAAGGCTGGCATTCCGCTTGGGCCCCGCGCGAAGCGGGGCGCATCCCCGTCATGCCGCACCTGCCATTTCCAGGTGGGATGTTCCTCCCACTGCGGTTGGAACCATCTATATAACTGCCGGGGTGATGGGGCTGCCGATTCAAGCCCTTGCTTAGACATGGGCCGTTTGTCAACTGTTTAAACAGTCTTAGGGCTCGGCACTTCAGATCAACTTTGCAACCAAGCCTCCCGATGAAGCAGGCCGCTTCGTCTCGCGTTCCGCCGAGGAAACAAAAAACAAGCGCCTCGTGCTCGTAGGAGTCGTCAAAGACCAGGCAACGGCCCTCCTCGGAAACGAGCAGCACCGCCCCTTCCAAGTGGCTGTTGGGACTATCCCTACGCTTCACGCGTTGATTGTGACGCTGCGAAGCTATAACGTTTTGTATGGGTCTTACTATTGTCCCTACTAAACGTCTGACTCTCGCTGGACCAGCACATGGGCCATAACTTGTATGGCTCTCCAATATAGGAATCGGTTCCCTACAAACGGAATCGGGTGCTGGTGGGTGTCCCTTTAACTTGCTGATGCTCAGCAGGGCATGAGATGAGAAAATGACCCCGAGATACACCGTCCCAGCTGGTGGTTTCCTTTACTCGGGAATCCCCCAAACGCTTCCTTCATTCCCGGAACCTGATTCCTCGGTCATATACGGAGCACCAGCAAGGCTTTGCTTGGGTTGGAGGTTTGACCTTGCACCTCTTGGGGAAAAAAAATATATATATATTGAATGTTCCCACGAACCAAACCAGAAGGAATGGTTGAAGGGGGGTCATGCCATTTCTCCTTCTCTACATCTGGACCGAGTCTGACGCCACAAATCCGATCATAGAACTCCTGCCAGCTGCGCCACTCGTCGCCCACACGGATGCTGCAGCCCTGAGGCACCTGGCAAAAGGGACAAAAGTTCGAACCTCCAATGGGATGTTGAGGGGGGGAATCAAGAACAGGTTCATGGGGAACATGAACAAGAAGCAACAGCGGGTCGAGGTACCAATAAAGCAAAAGGAATCCTGGAGGTCATCAAAACGATCAGATTGGTGTTGGACAACAAATCGGTCCAAAATCGGCCCCGAGATCAACTCGAGGGTGGAAAGCCGGTTCAAAGAGAACGACAAGGACGCCAGAAACAGCGGGCATGTTTTTCAGAGTCGGTCGCCCCGAATCGTTTTGAGGGGTCCTTCTATTCTGACGACCTACAAGTTTGCGTTTGTTGGTTCATGGAAACGACCAAGAAAACGAACGAAAAAGGAACAAGGACACAGTTGCACCATGATGTTGGAGTTGCGTCTTTGAGTGAAACCGCCAGACCGCGAAACCACAAGGAAACAGCACCCACATTGGGCGAGTAACACCAAACTTGGAAACCCACAAAAGCAACCACTTTCGACTGCTTGGCATTCGAGCAAGAAGCATATGTTTGGGAGATGCCCACTAATATTACATGAACAGAACAAAACCACCCAAAAGCTTTTAAAAACACCTGCCAAGAACAGTGAAGATTATCTGTTTCACTAGTTGAGTTGCCGGAACATGGAGCTCTTGGTCTCGACCCAAGCAGGGTGGGCTCCTTCTGAAATCCGGATGTCCAAGTAGCCAAAATGCCACGGTTACCCTCAAAACACGACACAATTGACAATGGTCTGTCTCAAAATGGGTGTGCCCGAAAATGGCTGGTTTCCTTCGTAGCTTCCTTTTAAAACCGAACAAAAGAGGTATCCTTAAAAAAGACGAACCCACATCTGTTTTCACTTTAAGTCACCAGCCAAGTGTATTATGGGCGTGTCTTCTTGGAGGGTCGCAAGTTGAAGCCTTCGAAGCGTCTAAACCCATGGGAGTCATTTTTAAAGCCCCCTTTTTTTCAAATGGTCCACCCAGAACCATGTAAAGACACATTAAGAAGGCGGATGCCCGCAGCTACTTGTAGGTTGGGATTCTCCCTTACTACCCGGATCACCTACCTGGGGATTTGGTTGTGGCTCAATGGCACCCCCCTTTTCCCCCCCCCCCACACACCCACGCACACCTTCAACCCGCCCGGCAGTTGAAGCCGTAACGTCGACACCCATGGCGCCTGCAGTCCCAAGTGGCAGGTGAGGTGCAGGTTGCTGGGCCCGCAGTGGGGCTTCAGCCGGGTGCCGGGCGTCAGACCTGAGACTCAAGCCATGGAGCCATGCGCGCGAAAAGGACACCAGGAACCAAAAGACGGGGGGCGACAGGGGGGGGGGGGGGGTGCGAACAAAAATGCACCTCCATTTGGGGTTCTTTTGGAAATGAAACAATTGTTTAAATGACCTTGAAGAGGGTGCCCTGAAAAAAAGAGAGCAATATCCATCCTGGTTGTAATTGTGTGTAGGGTGTTGCACACTCCTGCCCTGATCTCTGATGCTTCCGTTTCCGGTTCCCTGCATCTGTGTGCGTGCGTGTTTTTTGAAGGAAGCCTTTCCAGCTTGGTTTCAAACAGCTTGAGCAAGCACCATTTTGCGGGCGGCGCGTCTCGCTAGTGTCCATCCGTAGCAACGGAACCGGCCTGTTCCAATTCTAATCCATAATCCGTTTAGGGAAACCACTACCAAAAAGCTCAAAGGAGGAGGCCTAGGGATGCAACCCAGCACTCAATCGCTCCCAGGGGCGAGAGAAAAGCGCCGTCTCCTCGTCCGGGCACAGAGCCCAGTGTTGCGCGATCGCTTCGACCTGGCGCCAAGGCTTGGAGGGGGTGGTAGCAGAAAGTCGACCTAAGCAGGAGAAGATACCCTGAGCAGTGGGACTCACCCCCACCCCCACCCCACCCCACCCCACCCCACCCCACCCCACCCCACCCCACCCCACCCCACCCCACCCCACCCCACCCCACCCCACCCCACCCCACCCCACCCCACCGCACCCCACCCCACCCCACCCCACCCCACCCCACCCCACCCCACCCCACCCCACCCCACCCCACCCCACCCCACCCCACCCACCCACCAAACGAACAAAACCTCGACCCTGAGTCGCCCGGGCACACATTTGTTCTTCTAGTCTGATTTTTGAAAGGGGTCCTAGCCCTTCCAAAAACCAAGTCGAACAAAGGATGTTCAGCCATCCACCGCTGGAGGTCCACTCAAGTGCCGTGAACCGCATGGGAATCCTTCGCCTCGGTCAGCAGCTGCCAAGTCTTTGGGCAGCTCTCTTGGACTTCCGCGTTGAGGCCCAGCAAAGGGAACTCCCGCCAGACCCCGTGCCTTCGGCGAGACAGCGAGGCACCAAACTTTCCCTCGCAGGGTGGAAGGGCGCCCCTTTTTGGTAGATTCTGCGGGAAACTTTGATTTTTTTTGAGGGGTGAAGGGTGTTTGGGGGGTAGATTCTGCGGGAAGCTTGGGAGAAATTCATCGTTTTGGGAGGTGCGCCACCAAATTGGGGGGAGCTTCAGAGGGAAACCAAAAGCAAGCTCGCAGCCACTTTGGGGAGTCGATTCTGGTTGTTTGGACACATACCCATCCAGTAGAACGTTCGGCTCGTTTGGACTGCGAACACGAGTGCGTTTCAATGGTCTGTCGCCTGTCAAAGGCGACATGTAACATGTGAGTGAACTTTGATTGCACGTGGGGACGCGTGGGAAGATGTAAAACGGCAAGCAACATGACACCCATCCATATCCCTCTTGACACTCCACTTCAAAACATAAACAACCCGCAGAAAGCTCGCTTTGAATTCAGGCCAGGTTAGGATTGGTGCGAAAACAAGTGCTCCATTTTCTGAATAGGCTGCAATCAATGGACCTTCATCTCGTTTTATCCGCTCTGTGTTCCCCTTTTTCTCGGTGGAATCGCTCGAAACCCGTGACATAGGCTGGTTTGAACACCCGAAAAGGGCACTCGGCCCAGAGACGCCTCGTGGAGTTCCGTGGGAAACCAAGAAGCAGCACTAGACAAACGGCTGACCAAGGGCACTCTTTTTGTTGGTGGTTGACTTTAAGGGGGTCCCCCTCTGCATACAAGGGGGGAAAAGGAAGCAACCCAGTGGAGGTTTCAGTGTTAAACATTGTTCAGATAATTGGGAAACTGTCACGAACCAAACCAACCAGCCAGATTCATGAGCATGATGTTTGCGTGGGCTCTGTGTCGACTTCTGTGCCTATGTTGGTGCGCTTGGCATGCGCAAATTCGTGAGACTCATGCGAAGTCCCTGATCTGTACATCCGGCTCTCACCGGTGGTTTGCTGAAAGCGCTCCAGAGCGCCGAAAAAGTTCCCAAAATCTTCCCACTCCTTGGCAAGTGAGCAAACCAGCTTTGCTTTTCGGAGGCACCCCAACAAGACAGAACCAACACGTCCGACAAAACTACAAACCATGCCAAGTGACCCTTGAAGCAACCGAACCAACAAATCTGACAAAACCACAAACTATGCCAAGTGACACGTAAAGGAGCAGAACCAAAAAGTGGCCCTTAAAGCAACAGAACCAAAAAACCTGACAAAACTAGAAACGATGCAAAGCGACCCAAAAAAGGAAGCTGAGAAAACTAAAAAGCAGCCATGCCAAGATTGCGCGGTGATATTTTTGTTAATCCCAAGACTCTCTCACTCCAAGGTCACCGGCTCCCCTGGCGGCAAATCCAGCAGCTGAACATTCGCCAACTTGGGCCGCTCCCGTTGCAGTTGGCGGAATCGCTGCTGCGAGCCATCCTCACAGCGGAATCACTCCCAGAAATGGGGGGGCGCGAAGTTCTTTGATAACCTTTGAAAGGTTGGCAAAAAGGGAAATCCAAAGGACAACAGCCAGTTTATCGGGTTCCTATTTTGAGACAAACTCAAATGTTGAGGACACCAGGGTGAAAGTAGATGGCACAATTCCCTTGTGGGTCAGTAGAGCACCCACGATTCAGAATCCAGATATTCGACCTGGAAGGGTTGAACAATTGGCCCTATTGTCTATTCTTCATGGACCTCTTTAACCGCTACTGTTTGCCCAAAGGCTCCAAATGCTTGAGTATGGCGCACATTAGGGGCATCTGTCAATCGCTCAGACCCTCGAACCCTCAGACCCTCAGACCCTCAAACCCTGAAATCCTCAAATAGGGGATCCCGCAATGTTCCACAGTACCCTCAAAACACACGTAAGAAATCCCAAAAAAAGAGATCGATCGGCACCCGTCCGATCCTCTCTGAGCAGTTCCGCTAGGACGCCTTTGGCCTCGATCTCGGCATTGCGCAGCGGCAGCACGAAACCTGGCCAAATGCGAAGAACTCTTGATGCAGAGCGTGCTAGCCACACACACACAAACACGAACACACAAGGAACAAACAAACACACAAACAAGCAAGCAAGCAAGCAAGCAAGCAAGCAAGCAAGCAAGCAAACAAGCAAGCAAGCAAACAGACAAACAAACAAACAAACAAACAAACAAACAAACAGACAGACAGACAAACAAACAAACAAACCAACACACACACACACATACACACAATCCTCATCGCATAAATCATGGTGGAAGGTGGACGCACCTATGCGCAAGGGATCTTCCCAATAGATCCCCTCTATGTGTGTGCAATAGTATCTAGGCAAATTATGACAAGCTCACCGGAGCAACGAGCTCCCCGGGGCATTCACTGTAACAAATCCTTATATATTTCCATTGCATGAAACACTACAATTGGCCACGGAATGTACTTAATCCCAGGCTGGTCCCAAGAAAAAATCAGGGTTGGGCGGAATTTGTTTCACCCCCGAAGAGTCATATATTTTACGGTCGATTAAATTTGGAGTCAAACAATATCTTACAAGCCCTGGCCTTCAGGAAACAGAAAGGATATTATTTAAGGAGGTGGCCCCACCCGCAAATGAAGCAAGTGATGCGGTCGTTGAACCCAAAAACTAATCGGGCATTGCCCCAAAGCTGGGCCTTAGCTTCTCGTACTTGCAAGGGACATGACTTTGGAACGAATTTTACCCCCCCCCCTGCCCCCCCCGTGCCCCCCCCCCACCCCAACAAAAAAAGAACATTATTCAGCCTGAGCGCTTTACAGGTTAATTACTCACCTCCTGAGTCGATTGGCCAAACGAAGTTCAAGCCATGGACTTCGTCTACCCTAAGCTATACTGGGTGCTCCAGCAGAGAGGTCAGAATAATAAGGGTACCCGTTTTTTTCTGTCCATTTTAGTAGGGGAACCCTCGACCAAGTAAAAAACTACTGTATGCCTGGAGATTTCAGTGAAGATCCAGCCAAGCCAAGACGCGTGGGACGGGATCCAGGGCTTCGAGCGTGTCTGCGGCCTCATCGGCGCCGTTCACCAGCTTGTACCCTGAGATCTCTTGGGCGGTGAGCGGCAGAATCCTGGGATCCGCGCAGAACTGAGTTTGTCATTGGTTGGGGGGGACACAAACCACCAACCCGCCAATCAAGCAAAGAAACAAACAAGTCAGCAACCAACCAACCAACCAACCAAGCAAGCAAGCAAGCAAGTAAGCAAGCAAGCAAACATCCATCCAACCAGCCAACAAATCCAGAACACATCATAAGCAAGTCCAAAGCGGTCTGTGTTCCACTGGTGTGGTCTCACCCAAAGTCAGAAGCTTAAAGATCCAAGCCGAGGCGTGCCAAAAATCGGGGCCGATTTTGGCATCCCCTTGAATAGGCGGCACAAAAAAGGCGCCCCCCCCCCAAAAAAAAAAAACAAAAACATTTGAACACCTGCCCAAACCCAAACACATCGCCAAGAATCAGCGCATCCAGGCGGTGGGGCGGTGATTTGGGCAGCTTCCGGAGAGAGGTTCCCAGCGCAGGTCCACGAAAGTTTCCATGTGGCTCCAGGCCCACCGACCATCCTTTGATCCGTTGGCCCCACTTAGGCTTGTGGATTGTTTGAGGGGACCAGTTTCAGCCGAGTTTAAAGGGGGACCGGCGGAAGAACTTTTCTTCTGGGACAAGGGTCGGACAAAACACATTTTGGCAAAGTTAATCATCCTGATGAGAGCTGATCTTCTGGAATAAACAGGGAAGAAAGGGTGAGGAACTCCCCAACACAAAACGGGATTCGAGGCTCTGAGCAAACAAAAGCACTGTTGCAACCCTTTTGGACACTGAAATTGTGAAATCTAAGAAATCCACCCAAGAAAAAGAGGGGGCCCAAGCAAAACTGGTGCGACTTTTGCGATGCATTGCGCGGTCGGCGGAGGCATCAAATTTCTGGAGGAATCTCCTTGAAGCCCCCCTCAATCAAAACAGAAGCCCTCAGATCCCTAAAAGTTTAACTTTTGGTGGAGTAAATGGAAACTACCACTAAACACAAAAAACAGTTGCTAGGGGATTAGCTGGAAGCCGCCAAGTAAAAACCGGGTGCTGACCGTAGCCGGGGCTCCTTTGGGCCTTGTGTCCTCGAACACGTAGCCGTTCTCCGGGTCTTGCCAGGGAGGGCCCACCACGCTGCCGGGCAGGGCGGAGATACGCAACTGGCCCAACCTGGGTATGCCATTCGAGTCTGAGAAAACACGCCGCAAAAGGCTTCATCATTTCACTCCGCTACGTCTGCATCCATGTCCGCCCTTCCTTGACAGAAAAGAAAGCATTTGGGCAAGATATAGAAGTGATTGAACATAAATGTCCCCTGCTAAAAGTGACTAGCTTTTAGTGGTTTACTGCAAAAAACCCATTCGTTGGCAAAAAGCTAAAGTCCTAGCATCCAAGCAAAATGCACCAAAGAAAACACTTCACCCCATCCCTGGCTGGAAAATCTGTGGACCCCCAGTTGAACAACCATCCACACAATGTCTACCCAAACCTCTATCCCCAAGCAGCTTCCCATCCACACCCAATGTTCAGAACTTCCTGTGCTACCCTGGTGGAGTGTTGATCATCTTCAGGCTTGGAGCAACCCTTAGGGGAAACATACAATATAGGCAACAAAATACCTACTACTAGGTTACCTCTATAAGGACTCAATAATATACCCGGTATATCATGAAACAAGCAAACAAAAAAACAAAAAACAAAAGCAATTACTTCGCTTCGAGCAATCCCCACCCTCCACACTCACGAGCTTACGACCGTGAACACGGTTGTGTGAATTCAAGCATGGTTTTCGAGCGGCTTGGGGCCTATGACTGCTCAACAAGACTCAACAATCTTCCTTATCCCCCTGTCTGTGTGTCAAACTCCACTTGTCTGCGAGCCGATCTCGAGAACTCAAACATCGGTTCCGTTAACAAAAGCCAAGCCCCTTCCAAAAAGAAACCCGACGGGGGATTAAACGAAGTTGCTTATTCACAGGCCAAAGCAACACAACAGCATCACCCTCTCCGAGCCTCAGGGTACACTCAAAACACGAAGGCACCAACGTGAAATGTAAACCCAACTGTGTGCCGGGCGGGGCGTTAAGCAAAACCAGACTGGCGAGCTGCTCTGGCGGGGTACTGGCGGGATCCACTGGCGAATACTGGCGAGCCGCTCCGGCTTGATACTGGCCAGATACTCGGCGGCAAAGGATACTGAGCAGGATACTCGGCGGGATCCACTGGCGGCTGCTCTGGCGGGACACTCGGCGGGGCTGCTCTGGTGGGATATTCGGCGGGATCCACTGGCGGGATACTCGCGGGATCCACCGGCGAGCTAGTCTGGGATACTCAGCAGACTCGGCGGGATTCACTGGCGGGCTGTGGTGGGATACTTGGCGGAATCCACTGCCAAGCCGCTCTGGTGGGATGCTTGGCGGGATCCACTGGCGAGCCGCTCTGGGGGGATGCTGGGCAGATTCCGCTGGCGAGCAGCTCTGGCGGGATACTGGGATCCACTGGCCAGCTGCTCTGGCGGGATACTCGGCAGGATCCACTGGCGAGCCGCTCTGGCGAGATACTCGGTGGGATCCACTGGCGAGCCGCTTTGGCGGGATACTCGGCGGGATCCACTGGCGAGCCGCTCTGGCGGGATACTCGGCGGGATCCACTGGCGTGGCGAGATACTGGGCGGGCCCCACTGGCGAGCAGCTCTGGCGGGATACTCGGCGGGATCCACTGGCGAGCTGCTCTGGCGGGATACTCGGCGGGATCCACTGGCGAGCTGCTCTAGCGGGATACTGGGTGGGGGCGTGGTGTAGAAGCATCGCAATCGCGGATTCCAACATAAAATCTATCAACCCCTTCCTGTCGGGTGGGGAACAACACAACAAAAGCAAACAACGCAACAACCAAAAACAAACAAAAGCAACAAACAACAATCAAAACAACAAACAAAAGAACACAGCATAGCCGCAACCATAACAACAGGTGCCACTTAGCAGCCGGGCCACATCAACGACTCCCCCGGCCGCAGCACTTTAGGGCGAAACCCCAGGCCTTCCGCGGTCTGCGCCGCGGCGGCGTTGGCGATGATGGGCATCCGGCGATCGATGCGCTCCAAGGTGGGGAGATGGTCTGAGGGTCATACTGTGGATGGACAAAATCCGATCGCACCACTTGGAAACCATGGGAAACCCATTGTTCATGGGTATTTGCAGGGGATTCATCATTCTGGGGTTTCTTAGGTGGTGCGAAATGGATTTCGTCCATCCACAGTAGGGGCCCTGGTGAATGGAATTATTTCCATCTAAACCAGTGGGATCTATTTTTAACCAAACGGTTGTCATGGGGCTGGCCTCAGTATTTTACCATCAAAGTCACCCCTGTTCAGTGGTGGGTTCAAGGCAAAGAACGGATTCCATTTTCTGACTTCGATAACCCCCAGAAACAGTCAAACCAGTGGCCCCAAGCATAGGTGGCCTTTTGGAAAATAGACGGCCCTGGTGAATGGAATAAGCCCCCATCTAAACCAGCGGAACCCATCTACTTTCAACCAAACTAACCTAAGGACACCTATGGTTGTGGGAAGTAGATGGCCGTTGAGTGCAGTGGATTGCGAAGAAGAATCGGCACTCGTGTTGTTTGCTTGATGGAATGTTGACCGCGTACTAAATCAACCCCAGTTTACTAATAGGGGGTGGGGGCCCCTGCAAAAGTGGTCTGATTCCCCACCGCCTAACCATTGTTTCTTGGTATTTACAGGGGGAATCGAATCATTCCAGGGGGTTCTCAGGCGGTGCGAATTGGATTTCGTCCACTCCTGGCAGCTCCGCAAGGCTCCCTCGCTAAAGGCGAATTGGGAGACCCCCAGCTCCCTTCCAAGCACCAGTCAGGAACCCCCCCAGTTAACAACCAATCAACCCTACGTGGCGTGTCCACCCCGTGTCGGTTTAGTCATACCCTCTCTGCTCACCCAAGGGGTTCTGTGCCCTCAAATTGTTTGTTCCCTTGGTTTCCCTGAGACACCAATCGATTTCCCAGTTACGGACAAATCTGTATGCATTCTGGTCGATAAACCATCTACACACTGCACAGGGTAGTACCGGGCCGGGTGGCAATGATCCTCCAAGCCCTGCGACAGCACCTTCGCGCAAGAAGTTTCTTCGTCGCTGGTGAAACAAACAAACCTGAGAACGAGCTGAAAGCTATGAAGGCAAACCATCTTTCATCACTTCCTGAGTGGATGTGCCAACCAAAAGTCGGTTTTTTGGGCTGCCACTAGAGTGGTCTTGCCCAAAAGTATCAAGTTTAGGAACTAAGGGAGTGAGAAAAAGGCAAACACCATTTGCTGGGATCTTGAACACTTAACCATTTCCTGGTTAAGAAGGAACATGAAGGACTGCCACAACGCCAAAATGCTAAACGGGGCTAGCCTGCTCGAAGAACAAAGAACCTGTGGGAAGGTATTTGGAAGATCAATTTGAGTTTCAAAGGACCCCCTGTCAGGTGCCATATGAATGTGGCTCAAAACTTAAGAGCATAGGGTTACGGAGTCTTTGGCTCATACCAAGGTGCCATTTTAGTGCATGTTTTTTGAGCCACAGCCATATGGCTGTGGGTCAAAACCAATGGTACCATTTGGGGTAGGTGAATTCACCACCTATTTTAGAACCTATTTTAGTGGTTGGATTTGGGGATTGGGTCCCGTTCGCTGGGGGATAACCGATTTGGATTTTGACCCATGGCCATACTGGTGGGTGGGAGGGTTCCTTAAAGGCGATGGCACGATCGCATCGTAGCTCCCGAAGACTTCCTCGGGCGTGGGCAGCGGCCCTTGAAACCTGCGCTGGCCTGGCTGGGCATGGGTCAACTGGTGGTGTTCCTTTTCTCACTTGCCCAAAGGACCCAGAAAGAAAAGGTTCACCTTCTGGGGTCATGACAAAAACTAGACCAAAAGAAGAAAACAAAAGGTCAAAAGGTCGGCTTTGGGCAACTGAGTTTTTGATTGAAGTGGGTTAACTGGCGGTGTTCCTTTTTCATTGAAGTCTCCAAGGGTTCTAGGGCTACCTTCCATTTCCATTCTGAACCCAGGGATCCTTCTTTTCAGGAAGCCATCAAAAACCCAGGAAAAATACTTCGCTTCGAGCAATCCCCACCCTCCACACTCGCGAGCTTACAACCGTTACAACAAATTCCTCCGCATCCTAGAGACTTCGACTCCAAATTCCCGTCGGCTAGCTCAACAAGCTTTGCATTGAGAGCCTTATCCACCTGTCTGCGTGGCAAACTCCAATCTCGAGAACTCAGACATCGGTTCCGTTAACAAAAGCCAAGCCCCTTCCAAAAAGAAACCCGACGGGGGATTAAACGAAGTTGCTTGTTCACAACCCAAAGCAACACAAAAGCATCAGGGTACGCTCAAAACACGAAGGCACCAACATGAAATGCAAACCCAACTGTGCGCCGGGCGGGACATTAAGCAAAACCAGACTGGCAAGCTGCTCTGGCGGGATACTGCGGGATCCACTGGCGAATACTGGCGAGCCGCTCTGGCTTGATACTGGCCGAACACTCGCCAGGATCCTACTCAGCGGGATACTCGGCGGGATCCACTGCTCTGGGATACTGAGCAGGATACTCGGCGGGATCCCTCTGCTAAAATACTCAGCGGGCACTGGCAAGCTACTCTGGGATACTCAGCGGGAGGCTCGGCGGGCTGCTCTGGTGGGCTACTCGGCGGGATCCACTGGCTGGTGGGATGCTCGGCGGGATCCACTGGCGAGCTACTCTGGGATACTCGGCGGGATACTCGGCGAGATCCACTAGCGAGCCGCTCTGGCGGGATACTCTCCACTGGCGAGCCGCTCTGGCGGGCGGGACCCACTGGCCAGCTGCTCTGGCGGGATACTCGGCGGGATCCACTAGCGAGCCGCTCTGATCCACTGGCGAGCCGCTGTGGCGGGATACTCGGCAGGATCCACTGCCGAGCCACCCTGGCGGGATACTCGGCGGGATCCACTGGCGAGCCGCTCTGATCCACTGGCGAGCCGCTGTAGCGGGATACTCGGCAGGATCCACTGCCGAGCCACCCTGACGGGATACTCGGCGGGATCCACAGGCGAGCAGCTCTGGCGGGATACTGGGCGGGATCCACTGGCGAGCAGCTCTGGCGGGATACTCGGCGGGATCCACTGGCGAGCAGCTCTGGCGGGATACTCGGCGGGATCCGCTGGCGAGCTGCTCTGGCTGCTCTGGCAGGATGCTGGGTGGGGGCGTGGTGTAGAAGCATCGCAAACGCGGATTCCAACACAAAATCTAACAACCCCTTCCTGTCAGGTGGGGAACAAAAAGGAAAAAACAGATCCGGTCTTTGAGAAGAACGATGGTTGGACAGAATGGAAAAGGAGTCACCCCCTAGAAGGGCGTGCCGGCAAAACCCTGGTTTCAACATAAAAAAGAAAACACACACACAGACACACACGATAGTTGTCCTTTCCAAACGTCGATGGAGTGGTTGAAACGAAACCATCAAGCAATGCTGTGTTCCCTATAAGGGAAAAGGCGTTGGCTACACGTTCTCACAACGTGCCTTTCAAGGAATTGGACCAGTTGGTTGTTCAATCAAGTTTTGTCCAACCCTGCGCACACAAAACGCGTGACACTAAGGCACTGATTTACCCAGTGCAGTGGATCCCAGGCAAGCCACTATAATAGGTAACCAGCCATTATTCTTTTGAATTTTTTGGGGGTGGTTCCCTTGACTAACTACCATAGTGGGAACTGGAATCAGTGCGTTTGGGTTTCCCTGCGAAACATAGTGGAGGACCATCGCTCGGTGTGCACTGCAAATTTCATGCCCGGCCTTTGAACGCCCAGGTCTGACCCCAAAAGACCAAGCTGCCCACGAGCAGGGGGTCCACCAACAAACGTTGGCCGCCCATTTCCTGCAAAACTCCCAGTGGATTTCCACAAAGGAAAAACATATTTTTCAACCGAACTGGAAAGGGGTGATTTGTCAAAGGCCGATACTACTAGGACCCCATTTTTGTTGGCTGGTTTTAAACTAATTCAAAACCAAAGAACAAAAGGTGCCATGCAACTGGGTCTCTACGCCCAGTGTGTTGATGCCGAAGTGCGTAACTACCGGCTTCAAGTCGGAGCTTTGCTCAGTCTGGCCAAAAGTGGCTCTGTCCAAGTCGCTCTGCGTAGCGGATAAGCCGCAGCTCAGACATCGCAGATGTCCAGGGCTGAAGCCTCTTGAGCCATGGCTATGACTTCTCGGCCTAGTCTTCGAGCTGGTTTCAGAGCTGGCAACCCAGAGGCCGCTCTGCACAAAGGACAGCCCCGCGGCGAATGCCAAACATAGCGCAAGGCGACGCGCCATTGGATGGATGCCGCTGGAGTCTTGGGGCGCTCTTGATCTCGGGAGCTGAGTTCGGCCGAGACACACGTTGTAAATGGGGACCTGGACCCTGAACAAATTACGTTTTCTCTTTGAGCTTCAAAATAACCAAAAAGGGGCACCGAGCCTGAAACAATGACACGCCCCAGCACGTGCCAGTGGCAACCGGTCAAAGGCAAAGGTACTCCTGGTTGGGGACTTGACACACTTGGCATTCCCAAGACATTCAATCCAAAAACATCTGAATCTGGAGAGAGAGGGACTCTTGAATTTCCCAAGCTCCAGTATGTCGGCAAAACACCTTGCATCCCCGCGGACAAAGTATGCTGTACATGTCAGGTCTGACAAACATCATCACCAAACTACTAAACTTGCGCAACTGGAAGAAAGAGCAGGCACTCAGGTTCCACAGCACCCCTGGCACTGTACATCAACCGGAATAAACAAATTGAACACTTGGCAACTGGAAGAAAGAGCAGGCACTCAGGTTCCACAGCACCCCTGGCACTGTACATCAACCGGAATAAACAAATTGAACACTTGGCAATGTGTATTCGCTTACGCCGTGACAGAGGATTGCCCATGTTAATCCGAAACAAAGCCTAAATTGACTTGCTGTGACTTTCTGCTTCCCGTGAGCTACTGACAGCTTCACTGACAGCTTCACTGACAGCGTCACTGACAGCTTCACCTGTGTCTCCTATGTTAGCGGCCAAGCCATCTGCAAAGTCGCTGGTCGAAAGGACCTCGTACACAAGTCAAAATCGTTGGTGGCCATTCTTCCCAAAGTGCAAAACGGGGACCGCTTTCATTATTGTAAAAGAGTCACCATCGACACCAAGTCATCCCGTTTTGCCTAGTTGCTTTGGGTAACCTAAAAGCAGAAAGCAAAAGTGCTCTCCCCCTTTTCCACTTTTCGGTTCCTAGGGAAAACCTTTATGGCTACCTTCAAACAGCGAACAAACAGCCCAAGACGTATCGACGGCCCCTTAGTATCTTGGAACCTCCCCACAAAACCGCCGCTCGCACCCCAACATCGAGTTGACCCATTGCTGAACCGTGAAGACCTCGCAGAAGGTCAAGGGAAACTAAGGAGAGCCAAGCCAAGTGTCGACCCAAACATTTTTTGGCCATCCGTTCAAGGAAAAGGGAACCCGGAAAACAGCAAACTGGATTCTCCCTCCATCCATGAGTAAAGAAGCTGTGTAGTTTCTTTTCACCCATCCCACGAGGGAAATGGGTTTAAAGCCACCACGCGACTTGACTCGGCTGGTTCATATCACAGGGTTCCCTGCATCCCTTGCACCACTTCCTACTCAGGGAAACTCACCATGGGCCACAAAGGTGATGTCTAAAACTGGGTGGTGCTCAGTAGGAAATGAACCTGGGAGTCCTTTAAAGGCAAGGGATGGTTTATAGGGGTCATTCCATTTCTCATTCCCACAAGTACAAGCACCAAGGGAGACCAAGACTCCAATCTCTGTAAGGGTTGGACAACATGCGCAACAACCAAACGGTCACTGGATTCGCCCTAACCCAAAGAACCTATAAAAACAACTGCGACAGGTCTTTCTCAAAATCGGGGAAATTCCTTTGTTCATCTATTTTTCATTACTTAAATACACATTCATGTTGACCCCTGATTAATCAATTCCCTTAGAACCAAAACATGTCCTCTCCCCCCCCTTAGGGGCTCCCAAGGTTTGGCGAAAACGGAAACCATTGTTGGCCCCCTCCCCGTCTTAAAGACTGTCGGCTTGGCCCCTGAAAATTCAAGTGACACAGCCTATTGCCAGTACTTCCACCAATACTAACCCCTTTCATAGTCTTACGGGTTGACTTTTCCAAACACCGCAACAAAAATGAGGACATAACATGCGGTTTTTACATGTTTACAACATCAAGGTTTCACAAGCTCCCCTTCAATTCCAGCCCCCGTCTAGAAATACACACCCACCCCTCCATTGTCCTGGCACCCAGCCTATTGCTGTCCTGGAGGACCCCGAGAGGACGGGAGACGATCGGGTCACTGGGGGGGGGGGGGTCAGGGGGACTCTCCAAAAACTGGTTGCACTGGACCTGTCGACCTTGAGGCCGGAGGCTGAACATTTGCAAGGGGACTTGTCCATTGGCTCAACATGTCTGGGGTTGCGCCAGGTTTAGTCTTTGTGTCCATATACTAAGCATGTTGGGTACCATTTATCCATCTGTTGAGCCACGGCCATTTTATTGAACCCCCGGATTCTCCCAACATCCCAACATGCACGAGATATCGTCTCACTTCTCACGTCCAAGGTGCTGGGCCAAACTCCGGTCATGTCCCCGAACCTCCGGCCACTCATTTTGCACCGTCCGCAGCAACTCCGCGTGGATGTCGCGCCTCCGGAAAAAAGAGAAGCTTCCCTCAAAAATTGGCCACCCATGCTTTTGAATTTTCCCCGGAAAAGTTTCCCACTTGAACCCTCAGAAAGCCTTCAAAGTCTAGAGCCGCCCATCCAAGCCAATCGGGCAACCTGAAAAAAAGGGGGCAGCCGGTCTGTGCGGCCCATGAGACATGGCAGGGTTCCCAGGCAGAACAGCTGTGGCTCGCACTAAAGGAAGAAGCAAGCCATGCTCCAACGACCCTCCAGGCTAGACTTTCAGCAAACTCGTAGTGTTGATCTTCCAGAGGCTCGAGCAGCCATGTTTCTTTAAGAGGCCACGTTTGCAAAAAATAGATTCCTCTACGCATACGTGTTCTTGGGCAGGTGTCTTTTGGTGAATGTACCAGTAGTGTAACTTATTTTCTTGGACGTGACCACAAATTGAGGCCAACATCTTTGATGAAACCAAACCTCGAGAGTTGCTTTAACCGGAAACTCAAGGGACTGTGGGGTTCTAGCAACATCTTTGATCGTTCGATCTCCCGGAGTCCCATGGTTTAAGCCCGGCAAAGTTGAAAAATCCACAAAAACACCATAGATTGGGTTGATTTCCAGGCAAACCGTTTAGGCAAAACCATGCTTCCATTTGCAAGCAAAGCTGCTACACAGCAAACAATTTGCCCACAATCACCTTCAGAAGCTGAAAGGATGACCTTGGCAAACTGAAGGGACACATAACAATTACATAATTACATTCAGAAAATGCAGCAGGTCCCAAAATTTGCCGGGGGGGACAATGTTTGGAAGCTCCATGTGATAAGACCATTTCCCAAAGGTCGTTGGTTGGGGGGTACCATTTTTAGGTGTGGCTTTAAAGGAAAATCTACCAGCCCCCCCAAAGGTGATACATAAAATCATGTAAACTACACATTGCTATGTATATAACATGTGTAAACATCTTATTGAGATTTGACCAGGCTTGAATTGAAGAGGTGTTGAGACAGTGTATTGTGCATCTACTAAACACCGTGTTGAAATACTATATATATATATGTTGCATGTATCATAAACTAATACGATAAATGTGATATAATGATACATTGATATCACATTTAAAATAGTTTAACGGTCCTACTTGTTGTTGAGCATCATGTTTAGTTGATTGAACTACACAACTGATTGTTGGTTGTTGGTGTTGCAGTTCGATGATCGTAATGCACATGTTGAATATGCCATAGAGGATCATAATCCAAGTTGAACTATTTAATATTTAATGTTGGCAAGCCAACACAACATCATATTTTTAGTTACTTGTAAGCAAAGGTCTACTACGTCCGGGGATGACATGCGGCGCACATGCCCAACATACCATTCAGGAGATGGGGTGTTACTCACCAATCACATGTCACAAGTACCTATGACGCAACAAACAGATTGACAGTGGCTGTAGGCCTCACTACTCTCAGTTGCAAAGGATCTTGAAAAAAAAAGGTTCACCTTTTGGGGCCATGGCCAAAAATGGACCGAAAAGGGGAAACCAAAAGGTCATTTCAGGTCGATTCGCTTTGGGCAAGTGAGCAATCCGCTTTGAGCAAGTGAGTCCTCCCATGAAACCAAATGAACCCAAACCGGCTAGGAATGGGTTTTGGGCGCCCAGCCAATGCAGCTCCAGCTTGGCCATCCAGGGGAAGTGCTCTGCCTGCCGAGAGTTGTTTGACCCAGATTGAATTTCCATGGGAAGGCAAGGGGGCATACAAAATAGACTCCCTCCCAGTAACTAGGGTAAAAGTGCATTCCATGTGTAGTGGATCCCGAACCCATCAAACAGAGGGGATCCAAGTAAGATGCGCGGGCTTGTTGGTGAGCTCGCAACTTTTTGAGAGTCATCCTGGACTATGGGCTTTGCGCTGCCTCAAAAACCCAAAAGGCGGGACAGCAGAAACACCGGGGCTATCGGGACTGAATCGAACCCCCGACTGGCCTCGTTCTACCAATGTCCCTCGATTTTCAAGTGGTTGGGTGCCAAAACGACCGATACAGAAAGCAACCCCTAGAGCCCTGGAAGAGTATCCCGCTAGAAGAGCAAGCCCTAGAAACCTCTTTAACTCCCTGTAAGCCCCTAGAAACCCTAAACCCCAAGTCTTTCTTTCTCCAAAGTAAATTGTGGCAAAGGCCGTCTGACTTTTGACAACTCTTGAAAAGCATCTCATTGTGGGCCCAATAGAACTGGTTGGTTACTGTTCTGTATGATTGTCACCGTGGGTGTGGAACATAACCCTTTCTGGCATATTCAAGCATCAAGGCGGAATTCCCGCGATCCCTCCATGGACTCACATGGTGGTCCTTACGATTGAAGAAACGCTTCTGACTAAGAATAAAGAAGTGCGCCACTGTCATAACATGGAATTAACAAAGTCTAGCCCAAACAATGTAAAGAACTGAGGCGGATATCTTCACAGATGGTTGGGACTGTCCCCTTAGATTTGGCTCGAGATTTGATCGCGGCTCGGGATTTGACCCACAAAAGACCGGCACAACGCGCACACCGGCGACCCCCTTTTTCTGCTTCTTCTGCCCCTCGCCGGCGGAATCGATGCCCTGGTCGCCGCCTGACTTGCGAAGAGCGCTTACCAAGAAGAAAATAAGTTTTCCTTGTTTGTTGGTGGAGTTTAGAAGGATACATCCTCTGAGATCAAGGAAAAACAAAAAAACAGAGACCCGGGTCCGAGTACGTCCGGACGGAAGTACCAAATGACCATTTCAATGCCTGAAGCAGGGGATTCTCAGATTGTACTCAGCCCTTGGAAAGCACACTATCAACAAAAACAATGGAATCAACCACCAACTAAAACAGAAAGGGAAACCCCAAGAGCAAGGCCAGGAACCCTTCCTTAACCCTCCCTAAAAGCTGCTCCCAATCCCTCCGGAGCCTTTTTGGAACCAACAAAACATCGCTTTCAGCCAGGTTTCCCTTAGTCTGTCACAATGGACAAAAATCATGGAAATGCAACAGGCAACAAAACAATATCAACAAAAACAATGGACACACAACAACCAACAAAAAAGAAAAGGGAGACCCCAAGCGCAAGCCCTGCTTTGTCTTGGCTTTTTGCTTGACTTGGGAAGACACAATCCAAAGCCATCCTAAAGGAACCACGGAAAGTGCTGGCGGTTCGCTTGCCCTCTGAATCTAGGTCCTCCAGTAGAGAGGTTAGAAGAAGGGTACCCTTATTTCTGTAGTCTATTTTACCAAAAAAGTGTAAAAAAAGGCACAACTGGGGGACCTAGGAATAAGTTGCAGTGAGTCAACCCCAAACGGCGTCCACTTCTTGCCGCGCGGCGGGCCCAAGTGGTCTCTAGCCACGCCAGGGCGGCGTCGTAGCCGAAGTCCGCGAGCTCCCCGGGAGCCGCCTCGAAGGTGTGCCTGCCAGACGACCCTTGCCACCAGGTCTGAGGTCTGAAAAACCTAAGTGGGTTGAAGATCCCTCAAGAACGTGGGTGACCACAAAAATCCTTTCTGAAAGCCTGGCCTGACTGGAAGCTATCCTTGTTTGTTGGCGTGGGTGTAGCAAGCCATTTGATTTCCTTGAGTTGCCATGAGTTGATAACGAGGGGTCATGAAAGAACCTCCGAAGAACAAAGCAGCATTCAACCAAATACAAGAGCAGCGTGCCTCCCAGAGCTCAAGTGGACTCTGTGTGTCTCACTTCCCATCAAGTGGACTGGCCCCCAAACAGCAACAACAACTCGTGGCAAACGCCACGAAAATTGTCTTTCCAAAAGTTTACAGTGCATGTTTTCAGGGACTGAGGTGTGGGTGATTCTATGTGTGCGCGTCTCAGTTTGCGAGTCTGTGTCTGTGTTTGTGTGTCTGTGTGGTTGTGTGTGAGGGGGGACAGATTTTAGCTTGGTTTAAAGCGAAGCCGAAAGCAAGACAACAGTCTTAGGATCCCTATTGTGTGGTTAACAACCCCATATTGGATCAGAAATGTTTGAAAAAACGAAAAGCGGCCCAGCTGCGGTTGGAATGAAGGTTCCCCCTTCTGACATGTTACCACCAGTGAAGTCCACAGAAATGCTTTTCAAGAGGCCAGTGCCAATCAATGACCCCGGGATTGACAATTCAGGAATGAGTTATGATTCATGATGAAATCAAATGGGAGGTTGCTGTGGATTGGGTTTGGATAGTTCGTAATAAGGAAACAAACTATGTGCACCTGTAAAATGTAAAAGGAAAAAACCTGGACCCAGCGAGCAGCAGAGTCTGGATGACCAGCCCTGCTAGCTAATGGTAGATAACCCCACAGTATGGGCCCCACATCCCAAGACAGAATCTGCCCTACAGACAACTTCAGAAATGGCTGCTGTGACTTGGCGTACCTGGCAATTTCCCACGCTTGTCCTCGTCAATGATGCTTCTATAGCAAAACCTGCGATTAGCTCCCTATGTCAATGTGAACGCTCCAAGGACCCGCACAAGCAGGATCGGTTTCAAACTGAGAAGCCAAGGGCCTGCTTTCCATGCTGGAAGATTGAGGTTACAGCGCGGCATTCAAACGTTGCTACGCGCAAGTAAGACTTTCACCGACTTTGAGACTTCTGTTCCACAGGGGCGATGGAATCTAAGGGGCGAAGGTGACGAATCAACCTGACGAATGGACTCCAGGAAGTGGCAGCATGGCTGAAAATGCAGAGGGCTTCCTAAGGAGGGCACTGGGTTTTTTCAGGCGGTGACTTCTTTGGATTTTTCTTCATGACTCATCTTCATGGCAATTCAAAGAAAATCAAATGGCCTACGCACCCAGCAAGCCGACAAACAAAGAAGCATAGCTTCAGTCAGGCTGGTCCACGCTGCTGAGAGGGCAGCCGCTAGCTTGCGGAGGGGCTTTCGTATGGAGAACCAATTCACTCCCCAAGAGGCCTTGGTGCTTTCAAGCATTCCGAGGGCAACAGAAGTTCTCAACATTGGCCTGAAAAGGTTGGGGCCTCATGTTGCTTTCCGTGCAATACCAACTGAAGGTGGGCATTTCCACATTCTTGAGACACTCCCCGGTGAGCTTGTGAACTCAGTTGCACGCAGATCAGCTAGATCTTCAATGTTGCTCCTAGGAGACACCCATTAATCATGAACAAAAAACAAAACACTGAAAGACAAACAGACATGCCAAGAACCGTGAAGTGGGGGTTGATCAATAGTAACTGTTGCCATTTAATCAGAGTGGTCGGAAACTCCTCATTTTAGTGCTTTCCCAACCAAATGGTCCTCCCATGTACGGATGTTTTGATCAACCCCCAAGTGCCCCATAGTCTCTCGGCCTCCCCGGAAGCATCGGCGGCAAAGGCCCCGCCTGCCACCGGGCACGGGCACCAGGAGGTCGCAGGGGCGCAGGTCCTCCTTGCGGCTCAGCTGGCGCAGGAAGACCTCGCCTCAGACTGCTAAGCCAAATCGCGCGGCGCGGCGCCAATGGAAGCCCCGGATTGATCAATCCAGCTAAACAGGGAGTGTCACCCACACAACTAAGCCGGAGTCCCACGAAGAGGGGGCACCCCCCCCCGGTTGATCACCCAGGGGTTTATTAATCTGGGGTTTATTCACCTGGGGTGCTAGCCCGTTCGCTATACACCCAAAACAAGAAAGATCCTATAGAAATTCTTGCTGGTTTCTTAGATTGATATCCCGGACCCCTGTAGACATCAGAATTCGGAGGGATCTTCATGCCATTTCATGCCCACCATTTTGGAGGTGGCTCCAACCCTTGAAACGCATGGCGCTGGGCATTTCTTGTAGGAAATTGGGACTATGCCTACTTTCTTCACTTCCCGAGCGCCCGCTCCCACGCGTATCACAAGTGTCCCTAAATCCAACAAGTCCAGCGGTTTTGCTTGGTTGACGTTGAGTTTGGGGAGCATGTTTTTTTTTTTTTTTATTGTTGGCAGCCAAGTGGATTTGGATTTCAACCACTAAACCACAATAATTAAGCAACAAGTGGTTTAGTGGTTTCCGAACAATGTATTAATGTAAAATTGGTTTCCAATAATGTTTTGTGGATTGAATGTAAAATGTTTCCAAACAACAAGTCCGCCATTGGGTCGTCTCAGTTTCAGAGGGCCCAGGCTCTCTCTTCCTGCGGATGTTTCCTGCAAGCCTCGCACACCCAAGGAATCCCAAAAACTCTTAAGGGAACCCAAAAGGGAAGAGGAAGTTTTCAAAACACGGCGTGAAGAGGGCCAGCGATTGAGGGCAAGCCGATTTTCAAACTTGAAAGCCATATTGCAGGAAAAGGAACCTGTTCTGTTGCAATGAATGGCGAAAGGCAATCGATGACCCCTAGGCCCATGTTTTCAAGGCATAGGTCCCATCTCAAGAAACACAATCTACCGAGGCCCTTCCAAAATAACTTGCACAGGCCTTAGGAAGACGTTCCTTTTCAAAAGCTGCCTGTGGGCACTCTTTGGTTTGGAATTCGCATTTTTTGACTCGCGCCCAGGATCAAGGGCCTGGTGTTGGGCCGAAAACACAAGGCTTCCTCGGCCTGGTGATACTTCGTTGGATTCGAGCCAGCCGTGAATGACGTGTTTCCCGCCCCAGGCATGAATACCCACAAAAACAATCAGAGTCAAAGATATGTGAGCTCAAACAAAACGAAGCTGGATGGAACTGGGGCGTTTTTTTTGGGAGCCAGCCGGTTGCTCATTCGAAAGTCTAACATGAGCAAAACACAAACCGTCAATGATTTCATGATTTTGAACAAACCAACTCCGGTTCCATGCATGCGCGCTTCCACATTTCCAGTTGATCCATCCCCTCATCATTCTTTTGGGAAACCAGCAAGATTGACGTACTTGGCAATTTCTTCCGAAAAGAAGGGCCCCCGGAAAAAATGGAGCAGGCACAACTCGCTTGCTGAGTGGATTGGCCAACAAAAAGGCCAAACTCTGGGTCTACCACTTCCCAAAAAGTAAAAAGTTGGCCTTTTTGGTTTGCCTTTTTGTTGGCCTTTTGGTAGACGCAGAGTCTTCCCAAAAAGGAGCAATCCAAGACTCTGCGTCTTCCCAAAAGGTAACAGGTCCAGCGCCTCTTGTGTTGGATTGCTCTGGCCAGGCCCACGGTGTGACAGCACCCACACATGACCCACCAAACCTCAAGACCGCGAAGGAAAAGATCCCCTGGAATGCCATGGCACTCAGTGAAGTGAGACCACTCGAAAGTTTCTTTGTAAGACACCAGTGTCAACACAGCGAAGGGCACTCCCTCGCCACTTTGTGCTTTCCGAAAGGAAACTCGGAAGCAAGGTGTGCAGTTGGCCCATCGGATCATTAAAAACCAGCCTCAGCTCTTGCAACCCCATCAAAAAGCATGTCATTGATTCTGGTGCACATTCAGCGATCCTGAAAAAGTAGCACAAATTAAAAAGAGAACCTACCTGTGCTTTCCAATAGATGCTCAACTAAACTGAAAGCAGAAAGGACGCCTACTACATAAATGTTGCTCTGCTGGTCGAATCCATGCCCTGTAAAATATATAATGAAGGACACTTAAACAACTGGAGCGCCATAACTCTGAGAGTTCTCTTCCCACCGAACTGGTCTGGTGGGTTAGCGAACTTTGTTCCTTGTTGGCACCCACTCAGGGAGAATCAAAGACACACCACAAAACACACACGCACACTCACACACGAGACACTGACAATCAGACAAGCAGACAAACAGACTGTCGACCAACCGACTGATCGACCGACAGAAGGACACACCGGCAGACCGACAAACAGTGGGACAAATCGACAAACCGACCGAGCGACCGACAAACAGACACACGCAACTACCCACATGCAATAAACGTTCATATATTTTGTCGGTTGCGCTCAAGAGCAGTAACGTTTATAAGTCGCTGTGTTTACTACAAGTTTCGCTGACCTTTAAGGGCACTATAAGCGAGATATCTCTGAACAAGCCCATGAGCCAAGGAGAAGCCTTGAAGATGCCCTTAATGAGACCTTTCAAAGGGGTTCCTAGGTAACAAAGCTCCAAGTAGCCCGCTTTGGTCAATAAAAAGATAATTTCTGGCGCATCTCAGTTACTTTGCGCCTTTCTTTTCCAGCTTGCATCCTGGCGGCTGTGCTCGATAGGAACGATACCATCCAGCTCCCCATGCACAATCCTCAACGATGCAGGCAAACTGCATCGACCCATTTGTGCACAGGCGCCTGCCTGCATGCCTGCATGCATGGATGTGTGTGTGTGTGTGTGTTTGTTTGCTTGCTCGCTTGCTTGCTTGCTTAGCTTGCTTAATTATTTGCTTGCTTGCGTAATTGTTTGTTTGCTTCTTTGTTTGTTTGTTTCTTTGTTTGTTTGGTTGGTTGGTTGGTTGATTGTTTGACCGTTCCTTTGTTCGTTTTGGTTCTGCGTGGGCTTGTGTGTGTGTAGGGCATGACTAAACCAAGCAGGGAGACCGTGCCATCCACTTTCACCCAACTGAAGCCAGTTTTAACCACGGGTTCAGAACACACCCAAAGCAGAATGACCCGCGCGCAGGCATCCGCCTTCGACCCAAACCTACATAAGATCAATGAGAATCCATGGCCGCTCCAGCTTTTGAACCACTGAGTTCCTTAGTGGGTTGGCCAACAAAAGTAGCTGCCACTGATAGTATTCCCAAAACATGAAACTGGTATCAAGTCCGGGAACTCGCAGGATCCGTACTTTGCCCTGTCAAAAATCGCCGTGAAGGTAAACCTCACCTTTTTTTCGGGCCGAGGTGATGTTTCAACACTGGGGACCTCTGGGCGTTGATCAAAAGGTCCTGTTACATGGAATGACCATTGGTAAACCACCAAGAAAAGATGATCGTTCGACCACCAAATGGGAAAAGCTCTTTTCGGGGCCGAAGATAATATTGATCAACACCCACATCGGTTGAACAAATGACTCAGGAAGCAAGAACTTTGATCGAATCTCCAAGGCCTCGCTCAGCCGAGGCACAAGGTGGGTGGCCAGTTCTTGGCATTTCCAAGCATCTGCATGGGCTCGGCGGAGGACCACAGCTGCCTCGGAAGGCTTTTAGTTTTGGCAAAACTTTTCTTAGGATTGGCAATACTAAATTGAGTATTCGTCCCACGAAAGCGCCCCACAAAAGCGGCCCCAAGTGACTAAAGGAAGTCCAGCGTTCGAGGAAAGCCATGTGACATGGAGAAGCAAAAGGACGCCTGGACATTGATGAGAAAATGGGGATGCCAACGTCTAATCACTAATTGCAGAAGAAACGGCAAAACATGTGTTCGTCAAATAGCTTGCATCAAACATGCCTCAAGCTTTAGGAGGTTTGGGTCAAGGAACAAAGAACTGTTGGGTTGAGAAGGAGCCAACAGTTTGCTGCGTTCACCTCTGCCAGGTCGACAAAAAACATCTGTTGGTGCTCACGCATTGTTGGGGTCCATTGGGACGGGAAGTGCAACCTTTTCCGACTTTTGGAGGTCCAGAAACGGGAGTGTCCCGTTTTGGATGTTCCTTTTGAGGGAGTTTGCATTAGGCCCCACAAGCCCTTGACCCCAAAAAAACAAGCCGGGGTTGCCAAATGGTGAGTTGGGTATGGGTCAAAATTCTAACCAACAGGCGACAGCGGGTTTTCGTCCTTGGTTCCATTTACCGTTCCATTTTCTTTGCGACATGGAATGACCCTGATAAAGCATCCAAGTGGTTTTTTAGGGGACCAAAAGCCTAGGTGCATTCCCCCTGCTCCAGCAAGATTAAAACCACCACAAACCATCTAGCTGGTGGTTTCCTTTAAGACCAACGCCTGGGTTCATTCCCAGATCTGCTATCCATCGCACCGGTCGCAAGTTTTGGGTGCCGATTTTCCTTCCACGAACCGGTTTGCAAATTGTAACAAATTAAAATGGTAAGCATGCTGCAACATGTTGGCTTGGATACGTTAAACAGGTTCTAAGGTTCACAAGCCCAACATGCAGCGCATGCAACACAGTATGTACATGAAGAATGTGTATGTGTGTATATATATATACACACTTATTTGTTATGTAGTTTTGGCAGCGATGACGAGATATGTTGTAGACCCGCTCATGCTCAGCTTTGCAAAACAGCCAAGCACAACAATCAGCAACGCATCAATACACAAACACACATACATCAATACACAAACAACAGACCCACATCAACACACACACAAACACACTAACAAACACATTGGTGTTTCTCACAATTCGGGACTCCTCAAGGTGGTTGGTGTCCTGGTGGTTTCCCTTTAAGACCATCAAACAAGGGTGCCCTATTTTGAGACATACCCACATAGCCCGAACAAACAAAGTTCCCCTTGCGCGGAATTTCGCTCGGGTGCATGTTGTCCAGGAGCCGTCTTTGGGATTCGTCATTTGAGTGCCTTTTGGCAAGGGACGTTTTTGGGGTTTGTCACGCGGTTTGTCTCAAAAAACAAAAGGCAACCACTCAAGTTTGGGGGGTCGCATTTCGTTCAAGTCGTGCCACTTGAGCATTTGGATGTGCGTTTTTTTCTTTCAAGGTGCCTGTCTCGCGGGCGGCGGGGGGGCGGGGGGGGAAGAGGAAAGAATTGATGGAAAATGAAATGCTCAGCAATTCTCATGGCGTGCTTTGTATGTTTCGTTTCTCAAAGTTGATCTCTGAAATGCCCAATTTTGTTTTGTGTACCGGGACACCAAAATCAAACCACATATTTGAGGAGACCCCTATTTTGAAAACCAACGCGATTTAAACGGACGCCCAACAAAAGGAAAACAAACCTCTCATGGCAAAGTTTCGTATCGAAACAAACCATTTGCCTCTCTTCCATAGTGGACTACGCCAAAGAATCCTTCTTCTTGAAGGGGTCATTTCTCTGTCAGGTTCTGTGGTGAGGATCATTGCCAAATGGCAATCTGCCAACATAGCGGAAAGGGCACCCAAGAAAGGAATTACCAGCATTTATGTGCTTTTGGAGATGCCTTCCGTGAATTGGCAATTGACATCATTCGTTTCTCCAAAGGGACCCTTTTGTCAAGTTCCATACGTGTCTGTCATACGTGCCTGTGTCTTTTCGAGGGTACCTTTTCAGGTTGATTGAAAGGGGAAACCAGAAGGACAACCTGCTTCTTCCTCTTTTTTTTTGGGGGGGGGGACCACTTATTGGCGGATGGGAAGCCACTCATTTCCGTCAGATGGCTCATCGCCCCGCAGCACGAAGGTCTGGAAGAACCACTTCAAAGCGCTCATGCCGAAGCTGGTGACGCCCAGAAACGGCAAGCAGAAGGGCAAGCCCCTTAGAACGGATGGCTGGCAACCACGTATCGCCCACATCTAGACAAACAAGAGTAGACGAAAACAAACTAGACCCATTAAGATTCATACCCACTGGTGCGTTTCAGGGTTGAAAAACAAGAGTCGTTTCAGATTCTGAAACGTACCATATTATTGGGTGTGAATTTGAACGGGTCCCCGACCCTTCGGTGGGTATCAGGTCGGTTGGGATTCGTGTCCACCACGTTTGAGGGGTTCCAACCAGGTAAAGGCGTGTTAGAAGCAACCCCCAGACCAGGATTGGGCCAAGCCATGTCCACAAGTCTACATCACAATTGTCCATGTTCCTTTTCAAGGGGGCCAGGAGGTTGCTTAATGGCTTAAGCAAGTTTATACACTTTCCCAATTATCACCGCAGAGGAAGCGCCCTTTGAGTTGGCGACGAACAGGTGATGTGATCCACCCAGTTAAGCCGCCGCCAAAACCCTGACGTGCCAAACTGGAAAATCTAGACTCGCCTTGGTTTTTTGAGGGGTTTTGGTCATGTAATCTTGTCGTCTCTTCCCATAGCCTTCCGGTAGTCGCCCTGTATTCTTCCCATAGTCTTCCCCTGTGGTCTTCCCTGATCTTTCGCCAATCTTCCGGTTTCATCTCAGCCATCGAACCTCACAACACCAAATTGAACCACTGCTTTGTTCCGGCTTCGTTTGGCCTTCGTTTCAAAACCTGCCCGCGCCCTACAAAAGCCACCGCAGATGCTCGTCTTCGTTTTTGGGAGCTTTTGCCCTCTGCCACTCCAATACATACTACATACCCCCAACCCCGAATTACCAACCTTTTTAGCGGTAGCTCAGTTGCAAACCGCCGATTCGGGAAAGGCACCGCCATGACCGTTGCCAGCAAGCCGGGTATATCCCTTTTAGAAGGGAGCACCGTTCTGATCCGCAACCGTCTGTACGAAACATGCTGACTTGATTTCGCATGGCGTCTGATGAATAAGGACATCATCTAAATCAGCTGGTCCAAGTGATGGTTGAACTTGTCCAAATGCATCCTGTTCAGAATTGAGTCCCCCAAAGTAGTCAATGCGCCATTTTGTATCCAGGAAAACCGGACGTGCCAAGTGGCAGTGGGAATGTTCCTTGACCTAGTCCGCGTCAAGCACCCAACTGACGGGAACGAACCAGCGTTCGATGCAACTCACGCTGGCCCAGTGATTCGGCCTTTGGCTGCGATACACTTGGAATACTCAGAAGGTGTCCACATTCCCCACATCACCCACCCCAGCAGAAACTGCAAACTGACCCCAAACAAAAACACATTGGATGAGTGGTATACAACTGCTTTTTGTTTTTCTCCGTGGGGTAGTTAGTTGTGGGTGCGTGAATATCGTCTTAGATACGGCCATTGGAGGAAAAACACCGTTCCTTGTTAAATGCCTTGCCAAAGCCTCTTGATCGGTGTCAAGGAAACCCACCCAACTTCAGGCAGCCAATGAAACTACGGACACCTGGGATTGTCTGTTGGGGCGGATCTTAGAGAGCAAGAGACGAACACAACCAAACAACATGTTTGTTTTTTCAGGATCTTGGAATGTTGTCAAATACTGACCCCCTCCCCGGTATCCGATTGGCAAGAAAATGTCCCGCCCCCAACAAGAGGAAGCTCATCCGGGTTCTCAAAAAATGGGACCCCCTCAATTGGTGGCTGTCCTTTTCGTTTCCCTTCAAATGCCGACCAGTTTCTTTTCTTTGAACGGCCGCTAGGAGGAGCTGTGCTCCGCCAGGGGGCCGTTTTCGACATGCATTTGGAGACGCGGCCGGCATCCCACGCCCTCCAACTTTGGCGCAGGGCGCGTGGTGTGCCCGGACCGGTCTGCAGGGTCCAGGGCCGGGTAAAAGAGCACCACCTTGCTGTCACGCCCACGTCGCCAGACAAAGGCCCCTGTTAGTGCTGTTGATCAACAGAAAAATGAAGGAAAGCCAAAAGGCTTTAAAAAAAAAAGATCGGCCAAAGGCGAGCCATCCTTTCTTGACAAAGACAACTGTTGCGGAAGCAATTTCCCAGTCTTTCCAGAGACCCTTGCCTGGAAAACCACCAAACGTTTTGGGGAAACGCGAAAAGAATGATGAGTCAACCCCTAGAAGAACAATTTGACAATATTTCGTCTCCATTTGCTTAAGTCCCCTGGGGGAAAAAAATCCAGTAGGGATAGATTCCCTTAAAACCAACAGTGGAACATAACTTAACCAAATGGAAGTTCCCGGGGAGTCAACCCCTACTGTGGATGGACGAAATTCTGCACCACGCTAAAACCATGAGAAACCATTGTTTGTTGGTCTTTACAGAAATATTCTTCTCGGGTTTCCTAGGTGGTGCGACATGGATTTCGTCCTTCCACAGTCGAAGAACCAATCTTTCCCCCATGCCCTGCAAGAGCACAAGACTCGCCGAGCCGCCGCTCGCACCTTCACGGAGAAACCGCCTTTGGCCATAGCGAGGGCGGCCAAGTGCCCGCCGGCCGAGGTGCCCGCCACGGTGATGTTCTCCAAATCCTCGGTCGAAATCCCAGGACTTATGGGCCTTTGAGACCTTCCGGTTGCTTTAAAAGACGTCTGTTGAAACAAAACAATCAAAGAAAAGGCTTGTTCGAGCCTGCGGGTTGCTTTTCTTTTTTTGCATCTTCTTCGTCTTCTTCTTCTTCTTCCGGGCTCCCTACAAGAAACTCGTCTCGTGCCTTCGGCGATTTGCAAGGCCTCAGCAACCCAGACACAAGCATAATCAAATTGGGTTGCTTGAAAAGAGGTCTGTCGAAGCAAGGAATTAAATGAAAGGCTTGTTCGAACCAGACGCTTGGTCTAAAAAGGAATTGCTGTTTATTGAATGTGCTGAACTGGGACTCCACAGAGGGTTGATTGGTTCAGCCACCTGGTCGCCTTGTGGGAATTCGAAGGACCGAAAGGAAGTGCTTTGGACGTGCCCCGATTCTACGAGCCGATTTCTTTGGCCCGTCCACATGAACAACTTTCGCTGACTCGAATGGCCGCAAAACGCATCCATTTCAAGCATCGGAATATGACCCAGGATAGATCTAGTTTTTGTCTGGAATCTGGAAACAGCACCAAACTGGCTATTCCTGAGTGGGTGTAGTGGCAGGGACATGAAACTCGGGGGCCTGGGTGAATATGCGTGGAAAGACACTCTGGCCGGGTGAAGGCTTAGTTGCCCAAATCTTGTGCCGCATGTTGTGTTTCTGTGAATCAATCCTTGGCATGTGAGACACTCAGATTCAACAAAAATGCACAAACAAAGCAACACACGTGAAGTGAAGATCATCGTCAAACCCTCCCTTCCGTTTCTTTTCTTCAAACTAAGTGGGTTCAATCCCGAGGTCCTGTTGATCTCACTTCAGAGGATTTAAGCCCACACGAAGATGGTCCCCACAAGTCGCCTTCAGAGCAACGGGAGTGAGATACGCCGGTGGATTCCTGCAGGACCAGCAACCTGCTGAGTTCCCTGACAAAAGGAACAGTGATGGATTCCCCCATACCAACGGAAATATGACGGATGCAATTGCAGTGGAAAGCCCCAAGGAAAGCCAAACACGTCGAGCGAGCTGCCAAGCGCAGCTCGCTGGCGGTGGCTTCTAGCCACTTCAGGGCCAGCTCGACGTCCTCGATCTGCGCAGGCCACTTCTCCCGGCGCCGGTACTCGCAGGACACCTCGACACAGGAAGCCGCACTGCCGATTTTTTTTCGATTTTTTTCTGGGGGGGTTCATGTGAGTCAAACCTGGTAATGTGGTCTACCATCCATGTGGCCCGTACCCCCAGTGAACATCCCCATCCCCACTAAAATAGGTTCGAAAATGGGTGGTGAATTCACCTACCCCAAAATGGTACCATTGGTTTTGACCCACAGCCATGTAAGGAACTGAAAGACACCCCAAGTCTCTGGGTTGTTCAGGTGAGTCACCATGGTGTGGTCTACCATCCATGTAAGAAACAAATCAAGGCGGCCGGCCTGAGCACTCCAAGTTTCAGGTTTTTGCCGTGAGTACGGTTCTTTGTGAAATCCCAAAGGAGGTCCAAGGGGTTTCAAGACGGCCAAGGAACCCTAAAAAGCCCAAACCCTAGGGTTCTCAACCACCCACCCCCCTTGTACCTACCCCCCTTAGCGAGGTGAGATACAATCGAAACCTGGCAATGAGATTTATCCATGTAAGGTATTGTTTTCAAGGCGGCCGCACCCAGTTCTGGCTGGGAGTGTCCCTTAGTCTCCTTCATCTACCAAGGTCTTTATTGTGGCTCAGGTCTGTTTTTTAGAGCAAAATCATATTTTCCGGCCGGTTTCGGGAGGTTCCTGTTTCAGGGCTAAGTTTTGAAGCCAAAAGGAGCTGCCATTTTCTGGATTGCTCCAAGCCCCTAAGCGACAGGTCGCTCCTCTTGTAGGCGTAATGGAAACACCGTTGGTTTCCAAAAGGTCCACCCCCAGGTTTTCCAGAATTAAATATGATGCTCCGTCTGGATATTCTTGCTAGAAAAGTGCGATTTCAGAGTGCGACAATAGGTGGAATCCACAATTGGAGCATCTAAAATGTAGTCTACACGAATTTCGACAGGAAATTGGCCACACATCCAGCAAAAGCAAACACTTCCCATAGAATATCCTGTAGCTGTGCACCCCAGGAAACCGCGGTGACATCCACATGAATCCCTTGAGAAAGAACTGCTTTGACCTGGGGCATTCGACCAAAGACTCAGCAGAACATATTTTGGCAAGCCTCCCCATTTTTTATGAGGTCGGTTCCAGCCATCAATAAAAGACAACCCCCACCATACAGTTCCCAAAGTGTCACCATTTAAGCCACCCTAACAACAATGTCCAAAGAGGAAAATAGCCGCGCCGAGCAACACATACGATTTTGCACGCTTCAAACGTATGAAACTGCCCAACAAAATAGGGCTCTAAATCACAAGTCCGAAATGCTTCACAACACGACAAAAAAGCGAACAGTCATCTGAAGGCAGCCCCTCCACTAACAGTGTCAAATAAATTCAAGCCAGATCCCAGATTGGACGCCAGTCTTGTTTGACTGCCAGGGAATTCACAAACTCTTGTTTTCGCATTTGTTTCAGAAATACCTGCGTTCTGCGGCAACACCCAGGTATCCGAGAGGGGCTTCTCTGTTGGAACCCGCAAAACACGGGCCTTGACGGTAAGGAGACACCTCCCAACAACCGAAGTCGAGAGCCGGGTCGCGATCACTGTGCCCCCTGCCGCAAGTCGCTGAAACCTCGGAAGTGAGATACGTGGGGATCCTCGAATGCGGGGATCCTTTGCAGTCTTTCTTGGAGGCTCCCCCCTTCTTGAGTGGTGTTAAAGGAAAAGCACAAGGCTGCCAAAATTAGAGACACACCTTGCAAGTCGGCTCCAAAAAGGGAAAGGGAGGACCCCTGACAATTGTCACAAGGTCTAAAGGGTCACAGCGCGTTCCCACAAGGTATCAGCATTGCGACAGGCCACAGGACATGGGCCAAAGCCTTCCACTGTGAAACTGAATGTAAACTCTCACATGTGGGTGTCTTTTTGAGGGCCCCCCAAAAAAAATGTGATTTGTGTCTTGTTTCACTTGAAAAACACAAAAAAAGGCACCCTAAAAACATACACACCCATGAGCCCTGGAAAGAAACATCGTTCTCCAAGAGGACATGGACAAATTGGGTGGGCCCCTTGTTTGTGTGCCACATTTTTACGTAGGCCCAGAGACTACCAGTTTTTTTGGTTCAGTTCCTATGCACCGCACAGGAAAGTGCTGGGTGGTTAGATTCCCAACGCCACAAATGGAGCAACCCACATCAGACGGATGGAGGTTTCCCAACCTCGGAGGCCGAACGCCTCGAACCAGAAAACAGCCCAAAAGAAGAAAACCAGCCCAGAACCCGGGTGTTAAAAGAGATGGTCGTAAGCCCAGAACCATTGCTTCACAAAAAATAGAAGCCCAGAACCATGGCTTCCAAAAAAGTTTGGAGGGCGGATATCTGCAGCTGTTTCATTTGTTGGGATCGTCCCTTACTACCCGGATCATCAATTGTGCCTCAAATGGCCATGGGTCAAAAGCCCGGTTACCCCCCAGTGAACATCCCAATCCCCACTAAAATAGACTAAAATGGGTGGTGAATTCACCTACCCCAAAACTTGGTTGACGTTGGAAGGGGAGCATTTTTTGTTTAAGCAGTTTGGTGATGATTCCCCAAGAAAAAAAGGAAAGTGTTTGCCAACAACAACAATGCAAAGATGATTGTTGCCGAAGTGAATGCGTCCTCAGTTGGGCTGATTGCAGGGCACCAGGACTAATCTAGTGCTTAACGAGAGAGGTTAGAACAAGGGTACCATTTGACCCACAGCCAGATGATCTTCTGGTGGCCCGGGCTCTCTGGGTGATTCCGCCACATGGCTCTGGACCACACCCACCCACCCCCTCCCCGAAGAAACCAGCGGAAAACAGGCCACCACGGAAGGTCCGGACTCTGGACTTAAACAAGTGGCGCAAAATGTTGCCAGCAAAAAAGAGAGTAGCCGTGTTTGAAGCCCCCTTCCCCCTTTTGCGATTCCCTAGAAAGAAATAGTTTGCCACTATGCTCCACTCACTTCCGTGAAACTACGCGCTTCCCGCCTTTGATGTATTTGAAGTCTGGAAACTCGTTCTGCAAACAACAAGGGCATCCTCAAACAAACGTATACGCTCAAATCCAGGAAACTTACAACAAAGTAGTTTTATTTCAACCCAGGCCTCCAGTGGCAATCTGCATAAGGCGGACCCTTTATCGGGTCGTTGAGTTTATAGGGCAACCCCGTCAAAACAGGAGAACGCAATGCCCCAAGCTTGGTAGCCTGCAGAACTCCCCAAAAGATACGCCCAAAACATCAAGCTGATTCACAACGGGACCCTCCACATTGGCTGGGAAATGTGACTTTTACAAAACCAAAATGCACCCCAACGGATCAAGGATGTTGAACCTCCCCCTAAAAGAAGTCGATTACAGGTCAGCAGAGTTCAGGGCAGCTCCCCATAGAATGGTTGGCATCGGGTACTGGCCAAGGTCAACCCGCGGGTCCCCGCATTTTTCAATCCCCCAACAAGGTAGGTGTTCAGCGAAATGTCAACGTCCAAATGACGTGCTTTCCTTTCAGAGTTGCACGCATCTTCACCAATGGTACCAATCATGGGATTCAGAGCTTGGCCTTGAAACCAAACACCAGGGAAGGTAGGTGTTCCTTCGAAGCCTCATTCAACTTTATCCCTGTGTGGATTGGACCAAACCTTCTGAACTTTCTATTGCCGACCAAATTGGTCTTCCCAAAAAGTACAAAGTTCAAGGAATTCAGGGAATGAGCTCGGATGTTGGAACAAGTTAGTAAGATGTTGACCACTTCGGTTTCAGTTACAACCCCCGGATAACAACGTTAACCCTACTTAGGGCGACCTACAAGTGGGTTATAGCCTAGGTCACCAACCACTTCGCAGCTTGGCGAATTCAACACCCAACAGTAACTCAATTCCAACAGTATGATCCCACTTCCTGAGTGGATTTGCCAACAAAAGTCACTGAAGTCCAAGTGACCAAAAAGTGACCAAAGTGACCAAAGTCCAACAACGCAACACTAAAATAGTAGCCCAAAAAGTGGCCAAAGTCCATGAACTCAGGCAGTGAGACCACAGGCCCTTTGGTAGACATCATTGGGTGGCTGTGGGTCCAGAAAAAGGTACCAAAAACAAAAAGGTAAGTTCTGACAAGGACTAAAACCCGTGGTTCCCTGGTTTGACTTTGACCCACGCCCAGTAAAAGGATCATGTCCACCAACCACTTTTCAGGTTCCATGTTGAAATGGTGATCCCCCAACGTGCTTTCTTCTGGATTCATCTGGATTCCCTTTGGATACCAACCACAAGGGGCCACCTGCAAGAATTAAGTTAGTTTAAAGGAGGGTTGTGGGATCAAGGGGCTTTTGTCCTCCTGTGATACCAGCAAATCCACTCTTTATATGGGGGGTTGGTCTTGGGGTTCGGCATTTGTGTGGTATCACAGATTCGTGGATTCCATGTCAACAGCCCTGTTCTCAAGGGTCCCCTAACATTGTTGGCATCCCGTTGCTGGTTTGTTTGGTTTCCATTTACAGCTAAAACGTGGGCCACCAGATCCGAAACCAGAAGTAAGTATTCCCACAGAAGGGTTCCCTGAAACTTGGATTGGTTGTGATTAGATATGATTAGTTCGCAAAAAAAACTTGCACTTGGGCCAATCCTGAAACTTGGAGTGATTCTGATTAGTTCACCTTAGACACTGAAGAGACAAAAAACACATGCAATGGCTACAGTAGCCGAGCCGCATCGGACCCTGCGGCACCAGCCGCGCCTCGCCGCCCCGCCACGCGCCGCCGTGGAAGAAGACCAGGGCCCGGCGCTTCCCGGCGCCGGCTCCGGGAGCGCTGGGCGAGGGGTGCCTGGTGGTGGACAAGGAGGTGCCCAGTGTTTTTGCGTTTGGTTGTTTTCTCTTTTCGGGAAAATAACAAGTGTATATACATATATATACATACAGACATGCATAGTTTTCTCTTTTTTATGTGTGTATATGCATATATGTACAAAAACAAAAACATTGGTTTGGGCTTGTTTTTATATGAACACCTGATACAAAACCCTTGATTAAACAAAACACATTTGGTTGGTTGGTTTTCTTTTGTTTAATAAACATCCCACGAATAAGTTGTTCTTGTTTGATTTAATTTAAAACATGGTTTCTATAAAACAAACAACAAAAACTCTCACTGCTGGAGTCAAGGACATATTGCCGTCCAAAAACCCTCGTGAGAAAACCTGCGCCAGGGTCCCCTTGGTCGGAAATGGGCTTCCGGGAAGCCCCGCAGGTTCTATCTTTGTTTTTGGGAGGGTAATTACGAATACATCAGCATAGGACAACACTGCGTGTTTTCAGTTAGCCCTTTGTATCGCCCACAATTGAACACCGGAGCCCATGCTGAGTGTCAGTTCTGAGTCATCTGAGTCCGTAGCTTCCAAAACCGATCAGAGCTCCTGACAGAAGATTTCAAGCCCATCCGTGAGGTCAGGAGGTTCGGGGTTTGGCGCTTTGGCGCTTGGGCCGCTGAGGGGTCATTGCTAGTTTCGGGGGAACACGGAATCAAAATATCATCTACTTTAGGGTGGTAAGTTGAAAAGGAAGAACCTGCAAGCACAGACCAGATTTAGCTCGCGCAAAAACAACGAAAGTACTTTTGAACGAGACTCCAGTCACTCCTCTAGCCGACCTGTACGCCAAGTGGCCAAATATCCACCGGCACTTTGAGAGATGTTGGGTGCAAGCGCTCGATCCTCACTTCCTCAGACCTTAGCCCAGTGGAAATCTCCATTAAAAAAAGAGGTCCAGTTCTCAGTTGGTGGTTATAGAGAGAAAACCCCCTCAAACAACTGAACATAGAAACCACTGGGCAAACTCCAGACACCCCCTCCAAAAAAAAAAGGAAAATGAACACCACTGATGATCGTCTGTATAAATAAAAAACAACTCCAGAACCCCCCTGGCAAAAAACAAACTGGTGGAAAAGGGCGTCACCGATTTGTCTGTACAGAACACTCCTGTCTCAACAAAAAAATAGTAAACGAGCCTGGGCCAGTGAAACCGGGAGGCGGTACCGCCCCTGGCACCGAGTTGGAGAAGTAGTACAGATACCTGAGCGGGGCCGCCGGAACTTGCGCCGGTGAAAAATGATGTTGGTTGCGAGTCATCCATTCAGGTGCATCCTTTGGGGACCCCCACAAAATGGTAGCTTCATGTTATTCATGTTGGTTTCCCGTTAAAACCCAACAAGTGTTGGTACGCCCAACAAAGACACACCCATTTCGAGCCAGGGTTCAAACGTTTAACGTTTGTTTGGTATGCACAGGGGAATCCGACGAAACAAAAAAAAATCCGAAGGGTGCGCAATAGTCGCAACCATCCACAGGGAGTGAGCTGGAATGAGCCCACTGAAGCATACCAGTGGTTTGCATCTGGGGGATGCCTTCCTTCCAACATCCCGGTTGATTCCCTGCTGAGAACCGGAAGTATCCTTTGATTTGTTGGGTTACAACCTGGAAAAAAAAACTCAACATGTGTCAAGATACAAAGAACCTCCCAACACGGTGGTTACGCATTTCCTTTTAGCCATCTGAAAAGGGAACCAGCTCCAAGCAACACACAGACACACCGATATGGGTGTGTCTGTTGTTGAGGCTACCTTGAATCCTTTTTGCGTTTATTTCACATAAAACAAACTCAAGCAAAAGGAAGCTATTTTTTGGGGGAAGTGTCCTCCATTAAGAAACGCACCCATATCAGCCATCTCCCACTTAAGCCCTGGGTTTATGGGTGGAAACCTTTCACCAACGCACTCGCTGGAAGTAAACCCAGTGGCGGGTGGATTTTGGCCAGCAAGGGCCGACACACCTTGGGCGCTGGCCGCCGGAATTTGACATGGGGCGATTGATTGTGAAAAAACAACTTGCGAGTTTTCAGGGAGTTGACCCCAACCCATCCCTATGGTTTCCTTTAAGGGAATCCCAAGTTCAGACTCAACCCCTCGGAAGTTCCCTACTGAGCACCAGCAAAATGCTGCATCGCTGTTCTTTCTCCCCAACCGCTGGAAGCTTTGGGGTTGGCCCGCAGCTCTCAGTGAGATTTTGCCGGAAGATTCCAGGGCTCGGGGGCTGTTTGGATGCCGCCTGCGGGCTTATGTCTTAACAGCCCGGTGCGTACTCAGACGAAAACAATGCAAGTGACAAACTGCTATTGCTATTCTGACAAAAGCAAATGGAATTGCTATTGTTATACAAAATGTGTTTGTTCTTTGTTCATCCATCACAGAAATCAGTTGGGAGCTTTGCGGTCGATAGGCACAGAGGTGACAAGGAGTGGCTCGCAGCGGCTCTGGGCTAGGGTTCTGGAAGGATTGCGGAAGGGTTGCGGGGGCTTTGCTGTTGGGAATACCATTTGGGCTTGTTTGCTATTTCCGGGACCCAATGGAACGCTTCTTCCATGGACGACATCCGCGCCAGGCAAAGGTTGGCAAGTGGTGTCTCCCAGCATGTCTATGGTTGCATCTATCCGTTGTGCAGGATGTTCATAATGCAATTCTTTCAAGCCTCTGTCACACCCAATGACCAGTTTGTACTCTACCATTTGTTTACCACAGGCTTAGAGCGGTACAAAACCAATGGACCCCTTTGGAGGTGGTCGCTTAAGGGGCAACTAGCCTTTTTGAAGGAAACCAGGGAGAGGGTGGGATTCGAACAATATGAAAGGGGGCTGGGGGTATATAAAGCGAGCTATACTAAAATCCTAGCTGAACTATCACAATTCCTTGGGTGCTGTAGATCCCTCAGCAAAAAGTTAAACTTTTTGCTGGTTACAAGGAAAGATGAGGGGAATCCAAAAAAGTTAAAGTTTAAAGATCCAACCCAATAGCAGTAGAGAATCCCCCAGTGAAACAGGTGGAACCCTATGGAAGGAGCTGACACAAAGGGGTCCATTGGAAGTTCATGTTGCCCGAATTAACCCCCACTCAAAATGCATGCTTTTTCTTAAGGTGCATTTTGCAAAAACAAACGTGCTTCTCATGGAACAAGCAATATTTATTAGTCAGGGGTTGACATCATATCCCAAAAACTGTTGTATTGTCGCAAAAGGGAAGACCCCTCAATTACAAGAATAGAAATAATAGCTGCAACAATAGCAGTTGCAATAGCAGCTACAAAAATAAATAGCAATTTCATTTGGTTTTGTCAGCATGGAACAAACATTAACTACATAAACAATTGCTCCAGTAGTTGTACATTCTCGTTCAAACCAGTAGGATATAATATCAATATCTTCTCGAGCAAATGAAAGCAATGATTCATCAATTTTGGAATTGTTCAGAATATGAATCATATTTTCCCTATGCTTCCTCGACCATGTGTTTTTTTTTTTTTTTTTAATAGGGGTTGATCAACCCCTATTTTGTTGCATTGACAACCCCTATTTTTTGACATTGGCCTTTGGGGTCCATTTGGGTTGTTACGTTGTTTTTATTGAAATTACGCCTGCTATTGCAACCTCTTAAGAAGCCTTGGGAGCCAGTAGATTACTATTTATTGATAGGGTCCTCGTCGCCCTTTCGTGTTTGCACAATGCACCTGCTGAAAGTCTTGCGTAGACGGAGCCTTCATTCTAGCAAATTCTAGAATTTCCCTCTGCAATTTGCGCAGGTGGCACGAACAACTAGCAATTTAGTGCTTGTTTTTTCCGCTCCAATTTTCACACAGCTCCAAAAACGATGTGAGCGTAGACAAACCGTGGACAAAGCGTAGAAACACCATTTTTTGCCGTAGAACCACTATTTTTGGGCGTAGAACGGGCAAATTTTGCAGGGGCTCCTGGAATGGTTGCTGTGATGAGAAAATATTTTGCTGTCCTGTTTTAGCCTGTTTTGTTTGGTTTGGCTAAGCAGGTGGGGCAAAAGAAGGACAGAAACGGTCAGAAGAGGATTCACCCTCACGCGCTACATGGCCATGTCAGTTAAGAAACCAAGCAACATAGAAGCCAACATTAGCCTTGAAGATTGTAACACATATTGCTGCAAATGAAAATACATATGCGGCTTTGGGATCCTATGAGGCGGCCTTAGCGTCAAGTCTTTCCTAGTCCCTGTTCCAGTCCAAAACGGAGGCTGCCGCTCGTCATCAAACAATAGTCTTTATCAAAAAACGGGGTTGTCACAACGACTATTTTTTAAACAGGCTTTGGACGCATAGGGCTTTGGTTTTCCTTCAAACCCAACCAAAAAGGTGTCCTCCCCAAAAACCAACCAACTGGTTTTCCTTCAAATCCAACCAAAAGGTGAAATTCCCCCTCCCTCCCTCAAAAAAAGTGCTCCTTCAAATCCAACCAAAAATGTTAATTACCCCCTCCCCCTCCCCCACCCAAAAAAAAAACACAAAACACAACCAAACAACGTAGCCATCGACCCCCTCCCCCCAAACCCCCAAAACCACCCCGGGCGCCTTGGGGGCCGTGTGTGCGCTGGGCCGCGGCCGGTGTGCGCCGCGGAGATCCCGGGCCAAGCGCCGGAGCCGCGCGACGCCCAGGGAGATGGCGGCCAGGAGGTAGGGGGAAGCGCCCGTCCACAGGCCGACGCCTGGGGGGAGCAGAGGGTCGCGGAGACCCGGTCCCAAGGTGGTGGTTTCTGCTTAAAGCCCAGGCCTCTGGCCCCAAGAGTGGAGGTCAGGGCTAGGGGTCAGGGGCAGGGGTCAGGGGGGAGGGGGGGGGCGGGTAGGGGTCAGCGGTCCCAAAATTTTCAAGAGCAGTAGGGCTTTGCGATCAGCAGAGGGGACCCTTTTTGGAGACCTGGCCGCCCAAAACACGCGTTTTGCTGGTGGTTTCTGCTTAAAAGGCGGTAGCCTCCAAAGAAACGGACCCCAGTCATTGGTGACAGGCCTCTGGTTCTTAGGTCAGGGGTCCCAACATTTTCAAGAGGTGACCCGTTTTGGATAGGACCCCCCTTCCCCCTGAGAAAAACAAACGGTTGGCGGTTTCTGGTGAAAACCAACCAACAGGTGGTAGCCTCCAAAACAAAAAGCAGACCCCAGTCATAGGTAACCTTTTCAAAAAGTATTTTCCCTGCAGTGAACGGTTTGTACAACCAAGCTAAACCAGTAGCACCCATGTATTTCGACACGAACCCATCAAAAGGATATGTACCCAAAGGCTTCGATTGCTTTTGGGGCCTCAATGTGCATTCTTTGTTGTAAATCGTTGGGTCGGTATTCTCTGAAAAGACCGGGCACAGGGGTCATGAGCGGGCGGGGCATGGGGTGGACACTTAGGGTCTGCCATTTACTTGCACCCTGGTGTACTTCCCTTTGGTCTCACTCCCCTCTGATGATCCACCTTCCCTTTGTCTCCCAAAAAAACGACACGCCAAGCAACCCTGCTGGGTGTTTGAGGGTGTGTGCTTTTCACATTGTGTTTGATGGATGGCCAACCGAAGTACATGCAAAGCCAACGAAAAATGCAAGCAACAAACGCAGTGCTTTTAATTGCTGTTCTTGTTGAAGCGAAACAACACCAGTTGTTTATCATGTTCAACCCTTCTGAGCATGGTTGCTGGTACTTGGCTACAGAAACTCCTATCTCAGTCACGGCGGCACAAAACCCGGAAAAGCAATGATATCGTTTTTTGTAGGTCCCTATATTGTTTTACATGGTTTAACCAACGAACCGAAGATGTCATTTGAACAGAGAGTTTTGCCTGTTGCTCAGTTGTTTATCATGTTCAACCCTTCTGAGCACGTTTGCCGGCACTTGGCTACAGAAACTCCTCGAGAAAACAAAACAAATCGGAGGAGAAGTGTTGGTTTTGCACCAAGGTTTGATTTTTGTTGGTGTCCTCGAGGTGTTCTTCTGTTGATTGGTTTTACCCCAGTTGTTTTCGCTAACCGTTCACACAACCAGAACAACTCGAGCTTTGGTTTTTGAACAAACGCTTGAGAACACCAAAAACACCTTTTGGCAAAACCAACGCTTCTTCTCCGAGTTCGCTTTTGCTGGTTTTCTCGGGGCTCTTCTAGCTTTTCCGGTTTATTCTTAGTCTTCTTGCTTTTGGCGTATCCCTGCGGTAGTGCTTCTTCCAGTAGAATAAATTTCTCATGGCCATCGTGTACTTCACCCCATCCCCGACCCACCCGCGCAACCTGTGAAGACCAGGGCCAGCACGCTGCTCCAGGCATCGAAGTAGATCAGGAAGAAGTCGATGAGCGGCGGCACCTGGGGCGCTGGCCCTGTGCCGAGAGCGGGTCCCGAGAAGGAGCCCGACAGAAAACCGCGAGAAACTCGGTGGCGGAATCTGCTCCCCTGCTAAAAGTTTTTCACGTTTAGTGGGGTTAATGGGAAGACCCACTAGTTGGCAAAAAAAATCCTAACATCCAAGCAAAATGAACCAAAGAAAATGCGCTGCTGTCTTGCCTTGTGTGTGCGCCTGTTCCTTCCCCCTTTTTTTTCCAACAAACTCTGATTGTAGGAAAAAGAAGATACATTTGAACACATGAGACATTTACCTTGTTCTGACACATGCATTCTTGGTTCGTTACAACATTTAACTTTGTCTAAGTAAGTTTTCTCAACGTAGGAATCTGTGTGTTGCCCACCACGACAACACTGATATGTGTCTGAACCTTGTTGTAACATGAATGAATGTGTTATTTACATCTCGTGTCAATAGTGCATGGTTCCGTGATGTCAATCAAAACTCACGAAACCATATGACGTATATATGTCAATTCTCTGGCACGTTGCTCGATAAAGAACATCTTTCCTGAATATGTCAAGACTGTTGTCTTCTTGCATGCCGACTTTTAGAGTCTTCTTATTTGTTGTGTATGTTCGATACATTACTTGTTGTGAAAATGTTGCTTGTTGTTTTGGATGTTTATTGAGGTGTCTGTTCATATGATGTTTTTCAAACGGTGTTGTACTTCAGCTACTTGATGTAATTGTTGATGTGTTTGATCAATATACATGTGTATATGTAAATATATATATATATATATCCAGGTCCATTGGTTTGAACTGATTTCAATGTACAGACATTGTAAATACGATTATGTCAGTTCATACCATAATGTTTCCAAGTGTTTATCATCAATATAATATATGTATGTTTATTTCAAATATTACTTTATATAGTGGTGCCTGCATGTCTGGGTGTCTAGCACAAAGCTTCGACCGCGGAATGCACATCTCAACCCCTTTGCAACAGGGCTCTCTGTATGTTCTTAAAACAGACCCCAAAAGGACACTCCCTTTTACATTAGCCCAAAGATGTTGAAACTGACAGGGTGGACATGTAGGGAACCCTGTGTCATTCTCTTTTTGGGTTGCTTCCAGGCCGAAAAACGGAACGCCGAAAAACGGTTCAGGAGGGGTGGTCTTTTGTTTTGCGGCGGGGCTTTGTGTGTGTGTGTGGTCCCAGCTGTTCAATCCGAATTGGGGAGCTCTGTTCCAAAGGGTTTCGATAGGAGAATGGAAATCCGGTTTACAAGGAGTTGCTTGCTGTAGATGCAACCAATTTTGATGAAGAGTCACTTAATCGGTGGTTTGGGTTGGTGCTCTGGGGATTTGAACCCCCGGTTCTTGTAGAGTGTGAATGTGAAACTACCCTTAAATACCAATGCAAACGACCAATTGGAGGCAGGCTGATTTGCGGGAAGCCAGAGGGAGAACCAGCATTGAAAACAAATGAACTCCAACTGATTGATTGATCAGCCGCTAAAGGGGGGGCCTCTTTCTTGCGAATACCCATTTTTGGATGGTTTTCAGAGGGACACCAAAGAGGAAGTCACCAAAGAGAAAGTCATATTCTAAGCCACTCTGAATGTTGTTGACTGGCCAGCTGATATCCTGTCAGAGGCCCTGCTCCTCAAACCTCGGTCGCTTTCTGCTCCCCTGCTAAAAGTTTAACTTTTGGTGGTTTACTGGAAAACCCATTAGTTGGCGAGAAGTTAAAGTCCTAACATCCAAGCAACATGCACCAAGGAAACCAACCCCAAAGCTTTGTGCCCTCAAAAAAAAACGCCAACCAGACGCCTCGCACAGATGTTCGCCTCCCGCCTGCCCGAAAGGTGGGGGGATGCGGACGTGGACTGCCAGGCTAAGGCAAAGGACGTAGAAGCCTCGCGCGTTTCCACGCGATGCGAACTCGGATTCAGAGAACCCTTACTTCCATTTGGTTCAGACCCCTGGAAAAAACAAAATGTCCAGTAGTGATAGAAAACCAACAGGGAAGAATAAAAACTATTTTTCAGCAAATGGAAGCTTATCCTGACTTCCTGAGTTGGCCCCTGACTCGTTCTTTGCGAATTGGCCGGCCTCTGCCGCTGACCAATAAAAACCAAAAAACTAAGAGGGTGAGGCGCGAAGACCTGAGTTGCTGCGCCAAGTTCTTTTTCTACCACCAAAATGGCCAACCTAGGGAAATTGGTATCGGAAACGGACGGAAGCCGCGGTCCTTTTTGAGCGATTTCGCTTGCCGAGTCGCTGAAATCCGTATCCCAGATGGCCAGCTTTAAGGCCCACCAACTCAGCAGCCAGCCGAGCCTAGCAGACATGTCGTAGACTCACTGAGCTGAGGCTCAGCTCGGATTTCAGTAAAAATGTCCTCCAAAAGAAAAAGTCCAGGAGGCCGAGGAAATAAAATAAGACAAACCCGAAATAGCAGGTTCACAGGTTTGTCTGTGGTTTTCCTTTTAATCAAAACCGCAAAAGAGTACCCCCAAACTAAGACACGCCCAACTGCTCTCGTGTTTCGCGATGGTATCCTTTCATGTCGGTGTACATGGAAACCAAACGGCTAAACCACTATTTCGCAAAATGACATATGTGCTCAAGCGAAATCACCACGTTGGGGTACGAGACATACAGGTTGGTGCCCGTATATGTACATATATATATATATATGAACACATACATTAATCCAATGGGGTAAGGACATATCCGTTCCACAGTTCCATTCCCCAAAGGAAGCTCCTGTCTGCATGACCCAAACAAGAACTCCTTGCAAGGGAAATCACCATACGTTCTGTGGATGGACGAAATCCATCTCGCACCACTTTGAAGCCACGGTTGAAACCATACTGTTTGTTGGTATTTACGTTGGGGAATTTTCAAAAACCAAGGTTTGTTCGGTGCAAGAAATCGCAACCATCCACAGTATCTGCATTTTGCTTACGATAGTTTCAAAAGCTGAATGCAGGGATTTCCAGGGCCTTTATCATGGTGAGCTCACTATACCCTCAGCTCGCCATAACTTCTGCAGACAGCATGATACGTGTCAGGCCAGGCAGCCACACGCAGGCCACGCCGCAGCGTCTCCAAAGCGAGTTCCGCGCAGATCCGCGGCGCTGCAAGAAGGGCGCGCTGTCACGGGGCATCGACATGGTCGGATGTTCTGCCAAGCTGACTGAACTTTTTGTGAGGGGCAACCTTCTCTCACAGGAGATCTGGATATCATCTTCTGGAGACATGGCTTATTTGCAGAGTGAGGGGTCTGTTTATGGTAGTCCCCCTCATTTTGTGTGACGGCATTGTCGCGCGCTCGTGCATCTGCATTCGCTATTTTGTTTTGTCGGCCGCTGAAGCGCACCGCATGGCGACCGAGAGTTTCCCGAGCACGGATGTAATCAATACTGTGGATGGACAGAGTCCCGCACCAGCTGGGAGAGATGAAGCCCTATGGATACTGGAAGAAGCCAACAAGTGCAGGGCTGCTCCCATTTGATTAAGACCCCTGGAAAAAACAAAAAAACATTTCCAGAAGTGATCAATTCCTTTTAAAACCAATAAGGGAAAATAAAAAATATTATTAGCAAATGAAAGGCTTTGTCTACAGTAGAATCAGTAGAATTCCTGTTTTCATCTAGGGAGATGCTCAAGGTGTCAGCCTCCGCTTGCAACACACGTTCGCCGTGTTCTCAAATGATTGGGGTGCCAAGGAGCTTCACTTGTATTCGTTTTACGTATACGAACACACTGACCCTTTTCGAATTAATTAAAACTTGACAGCCCAAAAAAACACAACCACTTGGGGTCTCCAATTTCGGATGGCTCGCAATGGGTGGCTTTACTTCGACAGAGCTGAGGCAACAGAGCAGGCCGCTCATGTGGGTGTGTTCTGTTGCAGAAACGGGGACTCTGGTAGTGATCGTTTTGTGCGCTTTGATGCGTTTACTCTTCGCGCGGGTCAAGCTGGCTAGCTCCCAAACTCCAACCAATGCAGGGAACAACAATGACAAAAATCCTGGCAAAACCAAAACAGACCAAGCAAACCAAAGCAAACTCGCGTATTCCGAAAACAGCAAACAAGTCGAGAAAACCAAGCACACCAAAACTGAGAAAGGCCCGAAAGAGCAAAGCAACTAAATTAACATGGACACTCTTTGGAAAAGGGTTCATGTTGAGAGACTTGTGGCCACATGTGTATTGAGATGTTTGCTGTGTTTGTTGGTTTCTTGCGTTTTTTTTTGGTGCTTATTATGTTTTCTCGATTTGTCTGGTTATCTTGGGGGCACCCTCGTTTTTGGAGGGCACCCTCTTCATCTTTGTTCAGAGGAAAACCAATGGAACAACAACTACTCTCCCTAGTTTCACACATACACATTTGACGATTCCGGCTACATGCCTGTTGAGTATCCCGCTTCTCCCTAGCAAGCTGGAACAAAGGACTTCTGCAGAAACAGCTTCCACTGAAACTGGTTTTCTTCGGGGCTCCACGTTCGCGTGAACATGTATCATGGCGTGCCCAACTCTAGTTGCCAGTCACTCCAGGATAATGGCTACAAAGAAACTCGGTCACCTGGATTTGGCATTGCAACGGAAACCTAAAAAAGTGACTCAAGTCCAGAAAGGACGTGAGGACCACAATTCGGCCGCTTTCCCTGCCGCTTCTTTTGCTGAACCAAAGCATCCCCGGAGGCAGAACAATGGGTTGTGAGATATCTGCACCCTGTCGCCTGGTGCCAAGGCCGAGAGAGCAGACTGGGCACCTAAGTCACAAGTGCCAGGTGTCGACCACTCAACAGAAAAGGGTGATGTGTTATCCGGAAATTGGCAGACACCCTATTTGTTATTTGACCGCACCCGCGAACCCGCGACTAGCCTTGAATGGCTATCACTGTCAAGAGGGTTTTGCTTGGTCTCACAGAAGGTGTCCTTTGTATCAACCCATTAATACAAGGGATCGCCTCACAAAGTGTCATGTGTCATGGCAATCAAACCGAGTTGTCCGAAACATGAGCCATGAGCCCTGAACATGGCCCACGTTCAACCCGGCGCCTGGGCATCAGGAAGCAACGGAAGGCCGGCGCAAATGGATTGGCCACATGGCAAACGCGCCCGCATGACCCCCGGTTGCAGGAACTGAGGCCTGCTACACACGCGCCCGTATGACCCCCGGTAGGAACTGCAAAGGCCTGCTACAGAGCGGGTGAATTGGTTTGGGATGCCCTCAAAGGAAAGTACGAGGCATGGCTGAGTTCGAGTCACGCCCTCATTCCCCCCTGTCTTGCAAATTGAACACTTTGGGGCATCTTAGGCATGGCTCCGCTTCATAGTGCTGCCAAGCTAGCCGTTGTTCAACCCACAGGAGCGACCCCAAAGTCCATCGAAGCTCCCGAAGCATCGCCATGCGGAACTTCTTGCAAAACCCATTTCCGAGTACAGGAGTGGAAGCTGGGTGCCAAGTAGCCCGGCATTCGGATTTGTCCTGTCCCAAAAGGAAAGCGCGAGGGGACTTGCTATTTTCAGCCAAGAGAATTAGCAAGGGTACCCTCAGGTGCACATCATTCAGGTGAGGCTCATGTCCACGACTTTGGGAGTTCCGCATTGAAATTGAGAGCCAGTTAGCAGGGTGCGTCTCTTTTGTGGCTTCAACAGGAAAATGAACAGGACAGCCGATGCCATTTTCGGGGAGCTTCTGTTGGTTTTGATGGGATACCAAAGGAAAACGACCATTTTGGGAGCAGCTTCTGTTGGTTTTGATGGGATACCAACCGGAAAGCCGAAACCGTTTTGGGGGAGCAGCTCCCCCCAAAAGGCAACGAGAGTCCCCCCCCGCGCGTCGCGAAGAAGCTGAGGCGCGAAGAAGCTGGGCCGCTGGAGCGGGTGCACCCAGAAGCCAGGCACCGTCTTCAGCGCCTCGCGGCGGCGTTCGCCAAAACTTCTCACTGGCTGAGTGGATGGCCCAAAAAAAGTCCGAACTTTATATTTACCACCAAACTGGTCTTCCCAAACAGTTTAAAGTTCATGAACTCAGGAAGTGAGTAAATGACGAGGATCTCAGGGGTGACGACTTTGGGTAGGAGACACCCAAACAAATCCTTGCGGTTCCTTGGGAGTTTGTTTGAGGGTTCTTGGGGGTTCCTTGGGGGTTCCTTGGGGGTTTCTTTGGGGTTGCTTTGGGGTTTCTTTGGAGTCTTTGGGGTTTCTTTGGGGGTTCTTTCGGGTTTCTTTGGGGTTTCTTTGGGGTTTCGTTGGGGTTTCTTTGGGGTGGTGTTGGATACATCTGACTGAGCACCCTAAACCCGGTTGTTGCTGGATCAAGTAAAATGGGGGGGGGGGGGAAGAGCGCCAAACAGGGTTGGGGTTGAAAAACAGGTGGCTCAAAACCCAAAGGCAGGTTCTAAGTTGCTCTTCTAGGTGGCCAGCCCCTAGCAACCAGTGAGAAAACTGGCCGCTGTTTCCTGCTGGTCCAAGGCCAGCCAGTGATTCGGGCAACGGGGCCCCGCCCAGTTGCGCGACCAAACCTGAGTCACCATCAAACGTTGCACTTAAATGGTTTAACCCAGCATGTAAAGAATCAAAAGGGCGGCTGCACCTGATTCTGCTCGGGACTGTCCCTTCAGCTTCATCTACCCGATCGGTTTTGAGAGCGTGGCGCAGCTGGTTCCGCAATCTGTATGTCTAACGGAGGTGAACAAAAACAGGCTTGGGCTTGGACCTAATGTGAAATCAACCCCTAGCAATAGGGTTTCAAACAGTGGGTCTGCAAAAAAAGGGGTTGCTTCTCATGGAAGAGCCTCCTTTCGCGGGACTCCTGTTTTCATGTTTGCTGCCGATCATATTGACCCGAGTAAACCCCTGGATCTTGATTGGGGAGTCCCCCTCGACATCAGACACACCCGGCGATCACACCATCTACACATTAAAGCCGTCGAATTGGGTTGCTCCAAGGTCCCCGTCGCAAAAGGTCCTTGGAACTTAGGATTCTGGAGACGTTCAAATGTCCACAAGGCATTTATCCTCTTGAAGCAGGCAAAACATGCTGCGCGGTTCACAAAGAAATGTGCGGAAATGCCTTGAACTGTTCTTACTGATGGACAAGGTCCTGTTTGACATGATGAATTCTACCCATCCACCTCAAGAAAAGCTTGAATCACAGTCAACAACTGGTCCGAATTCTATCCATCCACTCAAACCTACCAAGCCAAAACCCACGCAAACCCCATCCCCGGGTGCCACGAAGACCAGCCACTGCCGACCAACTCGCGCGCCTCTCCGGCCACCCGCTGGGCGCCCTGCAGGTCGCCCAGCATGGAGTTGGACAAGGCCCAGCTGCTGAAGGAGTGCGCGTGGCCTGAGCTGAAGATAAAGCAAATAAAACTGATAAACAAATAAAACTGGTATATATATATATATGGCTTGAATGCAAAAGGTGTATGTAATGTGTATGTGTATATATTGATATAGGTTTATAATATGGTTGGAGATAGCGAAATATGTCTGCGATTGTATTCGATGTGTGGTCTGTCTCTCCCCTTGCTTTCATTTGCTTTTACGCCCCCTGGAAAAATAATTCCCGCCCAGCAACTAACATGGGGTACTCGTTTGGACCATTCTCCTTTCAAAGGGATCCCCGAACGTCAAGTTCCATGTTAATTGGTGGGAGGGTAACGTGTATGTAACACAGCTGCGCATGTATCTATATATATATATATATATTTATTTATTTAATTATTGTATGCAGGCATATATGTTGGCGATACGTTCATGCGTGAAAACATATACAAATTAGTGTTATATATGTAGATTCATCTGTCCAATGTGCTTAGGTGTTTGTCCATCCAGCCAGTCTTCAGGACTCCAGCTGGGAGGCTGCTGTCATTCGTATCGCCAACTGGATGCGTAAGGGAGTGGGCTCATGGAATGCAACAGAAAGATGGCCTCAGGGAGAGGTACATAAAATCTTTGTGACGACTAAGTCCAATTGAAAAAATGCTTTTAGTGGCTACTCCCAGTCCCATGGGATCGCCGGCAAAACCAGATACTGCGTGTGTCATCATCTAGCCCCCATATTTCCAGTCGTTCAGTGGCACCCTCTCCATCCCTTGTGTTGAATGTGGTTGAGCCCAAGTACAAACTGTCAACCCCACACCGCCTCAAACCCTCACTTGGATGTTCAACTTAGTAGGTTATGCCCTAGGTTATATCAACCAACCCCTTGTCCTTGGGTTCTTGGAGTAGAAAACTTACTGCCCTGAACCCCAGTGACCATGCGAAAAAGGGCACGTGCCCCCCCCCTCCCCCCTGCAAAAAAAGAGGAACAGCGACCCGACGGGTTTATGGGTCAACATTGCTTGCATGTTCGTTCTATGTCAGGACAGTGGGATACTCCAGGGTTGGTGTCATAGAATATCCCACTGACCTGACATAGAATGAACATCCAAGCAAGAAATGTATAAACCTGTCCCGTTAATTTTAATGGGGTTGGCCAAGGAACACCCTTGAGAAGCGGCTTCGCCAGCGATCCCCCAAGCCAGCACCCCAGCGCGATGAATCCCCACTAAACCCGGGACATCCCACGATTAAAATACCAGGTCCTCCAGTAGAGAGGTTAGAATAAGGGTACCAACTTCTTTCTGGAGTCTATTTTAGTAGGGGAACCCTCCGCCAAAAAAAGGTAAAGGGGCACAACTGGGGGACCCAGCCAACCAAACCCGAAGGACTCCAATGGTGTGGGTGCTCCTCATGAAGGACCTAGAATAGATCTAATGGGGCTTATTCCGCCTTCCTGGAAAACCCAACTTGATTTCAAAAAGTTGAAGTCTAAAGATCCAACCCAATAGCAGTCAAGAAATCCGCCCTTCCCATTTTTCAGGGGTCGTCGGACCAGCAAGCCGCCGCGACCATCCGCGCCTGGCGCCAGCATCTCCGCCTCTTCGAACATCTTCGAAGCGCGCAGGAACCAACTCCGGGCCTCCGCCTCCTGAAAAACCCCCACGCCAGGGGCAAACGCGGAAGGACGAGGTCCCCCAGGTGCCAACTTGTTTGCCAACACTTTTTTTGGATGGGTGGGGCTCCATTAGTAAAATAGACTACCCCTGGTACGGTTATGAAATTGAATTGGACCCTTTGGTGGATATCATTTGGGTGGGGATTCATGTGCACCAAACAGATCTGAGCTGGTTCCCTCTTAACTAGGTCCCCCAGCTAGGTGCCCTTTTTAACCCAATGTTTTTGGTTGGGATTCCCCTACTTAAATAGACTACAGGAAAAAGTTGGTACCCTTCTTCTAACCTCTCTACTGGAGGACCTAGCAGGGAAAGAGGCACTTGGATGTGCGTTGCCTAGTTAGGAAGTGGTTGGCCACTTGGGTTGCACCCCCTAAGAACAAGGTAAACCCCACTTAGGGGACTTACAAGTGGGTTGCAAGCTTATGAGAGGTTACAAACCACTGAGTAACTTGGCCGAGCACCCAAGTATGAAAGCCCAAACAACGAGAACAGGGTTGGAGTGCTTCTAAACTAAATGTAGTCATGGTCACACGAGAAACCTTTCAGTAGTTATTCACGCCCTCATATTACCTATAGCACTGTCACCTTCGGAATCTGAAGAACCGGCTTGGGTTGGTTTCCCAAACTAGGAACGCGCTGTGTCTGTTGGGGGCCCGCACTGAATTTCCACCAAGCGGCTAGCCGTTCCATGCCGTTGCAACCCGAGGCCATGGTCGCAAGTCTCCGTTCAGTCAACGGGGCCCGCCTGGAGTCCCATGAGCTGCAAGCCCTGCTGATTGAAGATCTCGCCGCACCTCAGATCAGAGCTTCCAGCTACAGGTAACCCCGAAAGCGAAAATACCCGGCAATTCCCAATATCTCAGTAAGTGAGGGAAACACCAAATTGCGCCAGCTATTCTGCAGGTGGAACGCAGGGATCTTCCTGTATATGTTGTTTGACACCATAAATGGCACTGGTAACTTGATAAAGAAGACTGAAACCAGTGCCATCTATTTTCAACCTGCCAACTCAAAGAAACAACACTGTGGTGACCTACTCAACTGATAACTAAGAGCCTCTTCTGCTCGATTTCTCTCCAATCTCCTTTCGGTTTGGCCTTTGTTTTTTTCTTCTCAATAATGGGGCACCAATTCTAAAACAAGACGAACCGATGTGGGCTAGTACGGCCACTTGACACCCATTAGGCCCATTGCCTTTTCAATGCTACAGTAGTGGCAGCAACCCTTTGACAGTACCGTCTGAAGAAATTGATTTAAAGGAGAAACTCCTGTCTACACATCAAGCAAAACAATACATACAACCACAGTGTGAAGCGCAACCAGGGGGAAAACGCCGCCGCGATAACTTGGGACCCCTGCAGCCGAAGCAGCGCCGGCTGGCTTCTTCCCCGTGCGAGGGAGTCCTGGCGGACGGGAGGGGGATAGAAGAGACCCGCTCAGGCAGTGGCCCAAAAAAATGGAAGAGATTCTTCCAGGGTGACTGGAGACAGGCATCCAACTCTGAAATGTCAGAGCCGTTTGGCCTTCCTTACTTTCTTCCGAAACAGTCCAGTTGTTCAGCGACCCTGGCAAAAAGGGAGCCTCGTTCGGGGGTGACCTTCTTCATTTAGCCACCGACCAAAGATGAACAACTGGAGCCCGCCGGGGCTTTGCTTTGCAGTCTACCTATCATTGGTCTTGTTCGGTGAAGTACTTCAATGAGTTACCCTGTTACCGTCAACGGCAATAGTAGTATGCAAACTGGAAATCACAATGTATTTGTCAGCAATGCTATGGAACAACTGTCCTGAGTAAAGCGTTTTGTAGGTCTTTACGTGATCATGTTGGCAACGGAAGATGCCGGACCTGTCTCGATTTTGCAGGGGTTCCTTTTAGAGTCAGCTACCAAAAAAGGGCGCCCTCGGTTCTCCATGGCCGCTGGCGGTTTGCGATCCTCGGTTCCAACTGGGCTTGACCTAGCGGTCTATAGGGGGTAAAGCTACGATGGCCTTACTAGCCGTGGTTTATTGCTCCATTGTTCGTTGTCAGTGAACAGGGAAGAAGGTCACTTTTAAAATTTGGTTTAAATGGAGTGCTCTAACACACAGGACCAAAGAGCAGCGCTGCAAGTCTGGGCGGCAGTCTTTTTCTGTTACGGGAAAAAAACTCTGGTTCTTTTCTTGGCTCCCAAATAGCGTACACAGAAAATCATATTTTAAGATTCTGTTTCGCTCTCCGTCTACCTTGTGATTTGATTGGCTGCAAACACACATGCACCAAAAGCCCAACTCGCTGCGGGTGGGGCTTCAAGTCTGCTCAGGGTGCAGCACTGCATTAAACCACTGTATTTGTACGTCTGGGCTCGGCCCTCCCATTACACGGCCATGGGGCAAAAATGTTTTCCGCGCACTCGCAAGGAGAGCCCGTGCAAGGCCCAAAAACCTCTACCAGTGAGAAGCCGGTTGCGAAAAACGGGACGATCTTGTGTTGGAAGCACTTGCGGTCGCTGCTCATGTTGGGCTGCAACATAATTTCGTGAAATGGCAGGGAGCACGCCCTCTCAGCAAGCACAACGTGGCACGCCATCACGCCTCGCGCGGTCTTTCCTGCGCACCGTGCGTTGGGAGGGGGGGGGGAACGCGAGCCCATGGAACGAACAACGTCTTGTCGGGCAAAACTCATGGAAGCGTAGGAACGAACGGCATCTTGAAGTCAAAAAATCCAATGTGCGGCAGCTGCTGTCGAACAATCAAGGTTAGATAGGCCAACAAAGTCTTGAACCCGATGGCCGGCTCAGCTCTCGGTTTCTGCTTCAGCGCCGGGGCGCCCTCCAGCCTTCTAAGCCTGGGCGGCGCTCATCTCGTCCGGGCGCCGAGCAAGGAAGCGCGAGCTGAAATGCGTCGCAGGCTCCCCCAAGTCACCCGAGTGGCCGTGCGCTAATGCGCGGCGGAGCGACCGCTGCAACTCAGCCGGAGCAGCTCTTTCAGCACGCTCCCGCCCGGAAAGCGTTGCTAGTTGGACTCATTTGGCGCGGCGGTGCTCTTTTCCAGGAGGCTTGCTGTTCGATCAGCCGAAACACCTTATGCGCACGACGAACTACACGTCTTGGATTCATAGCTGGAAAAACATGTTGAGGTATGTGCTCACAACATCAACAAGGAAGCGCGTGAAACCTTGAGACCCAAGGTAGCCCACACACGTGGCCCCTCAAATCGTACAAGTCTCTACAAGACAGCCTAGGCTTTGGTCTGTCACAGCTGTCCTGGTCCGGTCACTCGGCAGGACCCTCAAGCTTCGGACTGTCACGGCTGCTCTGTCACAGCTGTCGAAATAGCCTCTGTCACAGCTGTCATGCGGCACTGGGTGGAGCATACGGTCGGGAGTCACTCGACAGTCGGGTAGGGAACATGTAAAAGAACCCAATCTTCACGGAGCCCAAAGTAATGTTGGACATCATTTTTCCATACTTCTCCGTTTAACCTCATTTTATTTTAGAAGGAACCCAAAAATGGTTAGAAACCATTTTCTCTGCTTTGAGACCCATCGCGGCGCAAGCCGCTCTGGGCGTGTGATTCCCGCCTCGCCCAGGCGGATCGCTTCCGCCATGCGCCGGCTGTACACCAGGCATACCATCAGGAAGCGCCGGACCACCTGGCGCTTTGCCGGTCGGCGTCAAAGTCTTTGGGTTTTCGTTGGTTTGTGTTGCCTCGGTGTCTCGTATATATTTTATGTTGTTTTCTTGTTGAGATCATCGTTTGGCTGTTGTAGTATTGTTGATGCTTTGTTGTTGTGGTATTGGTTGTGATTGGTTTCTGTTTGCGTGCTGACTGGTGTTTGTAACGTCTCTGCTTCGTAAGTTTTGTCCGTTCGTCCCCCCAAGCGCACACCAGCAATCAGCTCTCCAACGGGAAGAGCTTAGCAAAAGGCACCCTGCGAGCCGTGCGTCGGCCCAGATTGAACAATGGGCTTGCAAGTCTTTGAGGGTACCCTGATTGGATTGATTTCAAGGAGAAACCAAAAAAAGACACATACACAATTCAAGGATTGCTTTGTGTGTATATACACATACCTATACAAGTGTGCCTTTTGGAAATTCCAATGGAAACCAAGACTAAACCACCCGTTTTGGAGGATTCACCCATTTGCAATGAATGTGCCAGGGTCAAAATTCCTAGGGCCATCCTTTCAGTAGCAATTCTTACGGTGTTTGTCTTTGATAACCACCCCTACCGACACCCCGAAAGTTGGTTTTTGACCATGGGATATGGGTAATTACGTGCTTTGTTGACCCAACGGAAACCAAACACATGTGTGATCCCCCGGAGATTAACTCTGGCCATTTTGGACCACGCTGCGTCATTTCCCGGGCTAACATCCTCAGTGCGCAATAGACAACTAACCTGTAGAACCCCCCCCCTCTGACAGGAACCCGACTACTTGTTCAACCCTCCATCTTTGCAAAAGCCAGCCATTCTGGAAGGTTCTCGGGGGAACGACTGAAGGCAAGGGTTTGGGTTGCATCCAATGAGCAACCTCAAGAAGCAAGACAGAAACCAGCAAACTCCATATGGTTTCAACCAATCTGATCTAAACACAGACAATGCCCTGGGTCAAGGGGGCAGAAAGGGCGCTCTCAAAAGGGTGCTCTCTCTGTTTTGTGACAATAGGGGAAACATGGAAACGCCCTGCACTGGTACCAATGAACTGACCCTTCAGTCTGGGCAAACAATATACTTTGACATCAACTTAGGAACGTCCAAGTAAGATGCCAACATGGGCAAACTCCTTTTTGTCCGGCCATCTCGTGGTTTCTCCAAAGAAAGCGTCCAGACCTCGTTTCCGTTTTTTGTTCCCGGGGAAACCATCCCAGGCAGGGTCGTGAAATGTTGTGGGAAATGACCACTTCTGTGATACAACAGAAAGGGCTTCCCAAAGACAAACCCCCCATATAACGGGGGAGTCCCAAAAGTATCACAGAAGTGGTATAAACCGCGAGTCGTCCCACAACCTTCCATTTGCTTAAGCCCCCTAGAAAACAAATATGTTTCCAATAGCGATAGATTCCCTTTAAACCAACAGGGCAACATTTTGTGTTTTTAGTTTTTAAACATTCCACCCAAATGGAAGCAACCCTGATCACAGGAAAACCCCCAGCCCGCCTCGTCCAAGCGGAGTTCCGCGCCTCTCCCGCGGACGACTTCCGCGGCGCAAGCCGCGGCTTCCGCCGCCTGCTGCAGCAGCGGAAGGGCTTCCGCGAAGCAGGCGCAGGCCTCCTGTGATGAGTTTGTGCGCCAAAAACCCGCGCATGTGAGTCATAATCAAAACCCGGTACAAAAAGGGTACACCCAGAACCATGCAAAGAAATAAGAAGGCGGCCGCAGCTACTTACGGTTGGGATCTTCGCTTACTAATCTTCATCTACCCGAGTTTTGATTGTTGCTCATGTGACTCTACTGACCCGTCCTCAGATCCGTGGAGACAAGTGACTAACTTTTGGTGGGCTAAATGAAAGTGCCCACGAAACCCTAACAAGCCAAGAAGCTAAGCGGATGGCCGGGAGCCACCAAGTTCAGTGAGGATATGGGGCATGAGAAAACTTGTGAGTTTGCTGGTTTTTCCCCAGATAGCTGAAAGCTACAGGGCTCCTAACATCTAATGAGAGGGGGAAGTGATTTGCGAGATTGATGGGCTGGTGCTACGGGGGGTGCAGTTTGGGGTGCTGGTGAAGGTGCTGTTTGGGGCGCTGTTTGAGCTGGCGCATTTGCGCAAGATTGACGGTACTAGTAGGTGCAAACAGGTATGCAGTTTAGGGTGCTGGATGCTGTCTGGTGTTCTGTTTGAAGTGATGGTGACTGTGCGGAGCCGGCGTGGGTTCGCTTTTTGCGAGATTGATGGTGGGGCGCAAGGGGGCATGCAGTTTGGGGTGCTGGCGCAGGTGGCGTTTTGGGACGCTGTTTGCGGCGTTTTCGCGGGAGTGATGTCTTTGCGGGGCGCCGGTGGGTGCAGTTTTGCGAGATAGACGGCAGGGCGCAAGGGCATGCAGTTTGGGATGCTGTTTGGGGAGCTGTTGGAGGTGCTAAGTGACGGCGCGCGAGATTGACGGCCAAGCGCTGCTGGGGGGGGTGCTGCTGGAGGTGCTGGTGCACAATCGTCTCATACACAATCGTCGGTATGTTGTTTGCTGTCTGGGGTCTATGCTGGTGTAATTGTTTTTGTTTTTACAGGCGCCTGCTGTCGTGCACGAAACAGCGTGTTACTTGAGTTTAGCGGGAGGTGCCATCAACCATCGGGGCGGGGGGTTGTCAAACATATTGCGCCTTTTTTGGATCCCGCCGCCCAAGGTGCTGCCTTTTTTTTTTTTTGGGGGGGGGGGGGCGATACCAAAATCGGCTGCCGAATATTGACAACAAGGAATCTAGACGACAACAAGCTTTCCTCCGCGGGCATGACCTTGGCCACAAGTTTTGTCCGCGCAATCAGGTCCAGTCAACATGCTCATGAGCTTTGTTATGTACCCGTGGTGTACCCCTTGTGCCCCCAAACGTGAAGACCCATATATATATATATATAATTATATGTATAGAGTTGCCAGTGGTGCCCAGTATTCCTTTTCTTTTGGAGGGCTTTCCAATCAAAGTCAATCATGGGTGTCATTTGTAGGTTAGTTTGGTTCGAAATAGATGGGTTGCATACAAGCCATTTACCAGGGGCATCGATTTCTGCAACAGGTCACCTATGTGGAAGAGAGGGACAACATCTGATTTTCATAGGCTGCTTTTGAGCCTAAGGGAAGGCATTGCAGCCTATGCGCTGAAGCCTTGCCATTGCTCTGGCGCTGCAGCTCGGGTCGTCGGGTCGGAGCATCATGCTTTCGGAGTTGAGACCAATGGCAGCACAAAATTTTAATTTAAAATGAGCAGTGGCTGTCAGATGTCATCAGCCTTACCTAGCTTGCTTTGACCTTCCACCTTCCTAACCTGGGTCCAAGATTGCACTGCATTTCAGCGGGGGGTCAAGGCGCCAAACCACCTGCGTTCATTGCACCTAGAACTGATTGGAGCCTTGAGACCTGGCAGGTCCTGGCCCATTTCATGTTGCTAGAAAGATCATAGAGGCAAGTGTGGCAACAATGTCTTTCGGCTGCCCCAACCCAGGATTTCCTCTCGAGTTTCATTGCACCCCATTTGAGGCTCGGTCAAACGTACTGGACAGTTCATGGTCCATTTGCATTTGGAAAGGACCTGCGTGATGTCCACTCCTCGTACCTGACGGCATCTTGCAGGTAGATGGCGCGCACATACCTCAGAACTGGCGTCCTGCTCAACCCCTGTTGCCAACCAGTGCTTGCAAGCAAAAACACGAATCTGCAAGCAAACATCTGCAACGTCTACACCAAATTTCCCCAAGACCTCCAATAAGAAGCGGCCCGCATGGCTGTGGCTCAAAAACATGTACCAACATGGCACCGCAAGGTAAATGGAAAGACTAAAACCTGCGTGTTGAACCCTAGCTCTTATTTTTTTGACCCACACCCACATGGTGCGCGAGGCGCCAAAGGCAGCCAACCAGCCCCAGGAGCTCCGAGCTCTCTCCGTCGGCCTCGAATCGCATGGCGCAACTCGATGGTTCGAAGGCGAGTGACGGATGTCTGAGCCAGAAATCAACCCCCTGGTCAGTTTTGAGCCAGAAATAGGCGCGGACACCCGCCCTTTTGACTCTTTATTGGTTTTGGGGGTGAAGCTGTGAAGCGTGTTTGGCGGTTTTTCAGTCTGGGGGTGCATTGGTTCATTCCCAAACTCCCTCTTGCCCGACTGAGAACCGGCAAGCGACTCAAACACCCACAAGCCATGGGAAATTCTCAACCAACGTGGGTGGAAGCAGCGGGGACACCGGGAACCGTTTTGGTGCCCACCGTGCAGCGTTGGCGAGGGGGCACGGACTTAATTAAACACAACGCAACCGGGTGGACACGGTCCGCCACGATTTTTGCACTAGTCTAGGGGTAACTTCCCCGCTCTTTCCAGGGATCCTTCTTTCTAGAAAACCAGTAAAAACCATGGGGAAATGGCTGCTTCTTGCAAAGAACGATGGCTGAAAAGAATGGGGAATCAACCCTTAGAACTAGGTGGGATTGGGGGTTTATCACCCAAAAACATAAAATCGAATTTCATCCACCGGTGCCGATTGGCCTGGAAAAATTGTCCATCCACAGTTGGTGAAAAAAACAAAAAACGGTTGAGAGGCCGAGCCCGGCGGAGTTTGGCGAGCTTCCGAAAGTTTTGGGAAGCTCACGGGCAATTGGTTGCCATGGAACATGACTTTAACCTTGCTGGTGCTCAGCAATGAGGGAATGAACCCAGGGGTCCCCTTAAAGGAAACCACAAGGGATGGCCTATGGGGGGTCATTCCATGTCTCATTCACTGCCCATCGCACCAGCAAGTAAACGGCTCGACAAGCTTGCAGCAATCTTCCCGCGCATTGAACTCGGTGATTTTCATTCGATGCGATCCAGTTCTGAGGGATGTTTTCACGTTCAGGGAAACATCCATGGGTAGGGTTCTCAATCCGGGGCCGACATTCTCTGGCGAGCTTGTGCCACAACTTGTGGTGGTTGGTTTACGCAGGGGCTGCAAACCAACCAGGGTTCTGATTTCTGCATGGCTCTCTGAAATCGAAGCAAAGATCACATGAGAGCGGCCTCAAATCCATGAGGCCATTGCCCCCTACAAGCTTAACGTGTTCTGGTTCGTGGGGAAACACATGTGTTCCCAACAAGTTAAAGCTTAACGATTAAACCCAATAGTGGCAAAGATATTGTAACTTACTAACACCTGCTTCCTGTACGGTGCTTCGGATGCTGGATAGCTACAACCCCTGCATGCTTGCATGCAATGTGCCCAAGTGTACCCAATTTACCCCATGCAGCCCATGTACTTAATGTGGCATAAATGTACCCCATCTGGGGTCTCCTCCCCCCATGTGCACTAGAGTTGCGTCGAGCAATGTGCCATACAACTATGCAGCATGTGAATATATACCCCATGAATTGTGCATCAGCGGGCCCCTAGTGCAACGATTCTCGGCAGGGAACCCGCATGAAAACAAACGATGGAGTCCAGTCAAGATTTGGCCCCCCCCCATTCAGGTAAGCTTTGTGTTTGCCACCCTTAAAGAAAACCGCGAGCATAGGGTTCATTCCATGTCTCATTCCCTGCCTATCGCACCAGCAAGATAAGAAATGGATTGCCCAAAGGAGCCACACCATGGCTGTGGCTCGTGCCCCCTTTGGAATGCCTCAAGGTGCTTCTGCGCTGCGGAGAGGGCCTGCTCCACCTCACGAGGAATTGAGACCAGGCCTGGCGGATCCTCAGATCCCGTTCTTTGGGAGTGGGGTGACGTCTCCATTGGTCATGGCTCATGGTTTGGTTCCTGGTTGCAAAGCGGCGCTTGGGATAGTTGTTGGACTTGTCCAACCATTCACGGTTGCATGGGGCACCCCATGTCCATGTTTCAAGAGGAATTGGCTTGGCCCCAACTGAGGGTCAGGCGATGAAAAAGTTGATCGCCCCTTTGCCTGTCCCGCAACCCAAACCAAGGATCCAAACAGACGCCTGAAGACGGTTCTCCGTTTTTGGCCTGGAGTTGACGGGTGTGAGAAAGCTTGACTCTTGACTAATGAAGTGATAAAGACACCTACCAACAAATGACTAGAATGATGAAGACATCTACCAGCAGAAAGCTCAAGATTATCAACTCGAGATGAACTGCGTTGGACAAGCAGAAGGAAATCTACGGGGGTCCACCATGGACACACCAGGCTGCCTCTCACATTTCAGCAGTCGTCCTGAAAGGCGTGATTCATCTGCAAACTCTGCAAAAGTTCCGAAGCACAAGAGAAGGACTTCCATGGTTTCCTTGTTTTACCCCCCCCCCCCACCACCCCCCGCGCCAAACAGGCCACTGCTATCCAGCTCAGGCTCCCAATGACTGAAAGTGGCCCAAGCCGATTGCTTCTGGGGACTACCGCGATCTCACAGAAGGAAATCGGCCGCCAGAGTCTCCATTTGCTGTTAAGCCCCCCTGGGAAAGATACACATATTTCCAGTAGTGATAGGCCTTCAAAGCCAACGGGGAAAATCAAACGTTTCTTAAGCAAATGGAAGTACGAGGATTCCTGTGGGTGTGTCTTAAAATAGGGACTGTGATAGACTTCCTTCAAAACCAACCAGCATCCAGCGGTGCTTGTACATACCCCGTAACATGCCCCTTGGGCAAATGAATCCAAAAGGCCGGCCGTCCCAAAAAAGGAGAAGAACCTCTTATAAAGTGGGCTGGAAACCAGGGAAGCCCAGGAACCGGTATGAACAAGGGGTATGTATTTGGCTACAAGGGGTATGAACAAGGGGTATCACAGTGTCAGCCACGGTAGCAGTACATAGCCCTTGTTCATATCCCTTCTACCACTGTAGCCAAGGGGTATGACACCCTTAGAAAGCCACTTATATCTAACAAGCGACTTACAACTACTTCCAGCAGTGATAGATTCCCTTCAAAACCAACAGGGGAAAATCAAACATATTGATTTCAGCAAATGGTACCCGTTTTTCTGTAGTCTTTTTTAGTACGGGAACCCTCCCCCCAAAAAGGGGTTAAAAAGGGCACCTAGCTGGGGGCCCTAGAACATCCTAGAACAAGCACCTGGCGGCTGATCCTGCGTCGGCCTCCTGCAAGGAGCTGCGCCGCAAGGGCGCAGTTCCGCCCGAGAGCAGGCGCCGCAGGAGCTGCCACGGTCTCAGCCGAACCGAATCGACCCGGCGTCAAGACGATTGGGCGCGGGATGACGCTTTGTTGTTGTTTTTGTTTCTGCTTGACGTTTCTTTTTCTTTTTAGTTTTTCCCCATTGTTTTTTGGCCTGACCCCGGTCTGATCGTTTCCCCCTACTGTGGATGGACGAAATCCATTTCGCACTACTCTGAAACCATGGAAACCATTGTTTGTTGGCATTTACAGGGGAATCATCCTTCCAGGGTTTTCTAGGTGGTGCAGGATTTCGTCCATCCACAGTATGACATAGTGCAGCGTGTTTTACAATAGGGCGGGGGTATATAGGATTGGGAAATTGTTCCATCTACTTTCAGCAAGCTGTGTTAATTAATGATGACCCCACATTCATGAACCGCTGGTGGATTTATGGGGAAGTGCCTCTTCCGAGAGGTGAAATTTCTACTCAACTCATCCGGAGTGGACATAACTTATCAAAGTTGTTCAACATGGAGGGAAGCCCTATTCGCCATCCGCCATCCGTGCCAAAAGAAACCACTAGCGTTTGGACTCTGCTCCCCAACACTACCAGTCACCACAATGTCAAAGACCGTTTTAGTCGTGGGTCATACAAATGCGTATCATCTTATGTTGGCCGGCAGGGGCAGGTCCAAGATGCATTCCT